GGAGGCGCGGCGCTCAACCCCGTCCTTCCTGGTGATGGTCTGGTCGTCGAAGTGCTTGGACACGAACTTCTTGAAGACCCTCGTGCACTCGGGGTCATGGCAGAAGATGCCCTCTTCCTGGTTGGTCGGGTTGAGGATGCGGCCAACCAAGTGCATGTCGCACGCCAGCCCGTTGTCCCAGCGGTCCTGCACGATCTCCCGAATATCCCCCACCTCTCCGCTTGTCAGGACCCCTTCCGCATGCTCGTCGAGGAAGTCGCGGATGTCCTCGGTGAGCTGGAGCATGAGGTTGTAGAGACGACCCATCATGCCCTTCGCATCCGAGTCCGTCTTGCGCATGACGACGAACGGCAGCTTCATCACCTTCGCGAAGAACTCGGCGTGCGTCCACCACGTGTCATCAAGGATGTTGACTTTGAAGGTATCTGCCCCTACCCTCTTTGCAGTCGTTGTCCAGTTGCGTCACTCATCGCTGAGGACCATCTGCGTCAAGCCGGCGCACACTTCACAGAGGCGGTTGATGGCGATGTAGTTGGTGCCGAATCGGGTTCCCGCGGGCTTGAGAACCTGCTTCCCCTTGCCGCCGTTCACGAGCTTGCTCCGCAGGTAAAGTGATGGTTGCGGACGAACGAGATGAGGGTGTTCCCGCGCGTGACGATGTCCTTCGCCCATCCCATTTTCCCGATGTCCTCCATCACGAGATCAAGGACATGGGTCGCGCACGGGATGTGTTCGATGTGGGGATACTCCGTCATCAACTCCCTGCAGGCCGCCGCGTAATTGGACCCGCCGTCAAAACACAAGGCCACGACATTCTCGGGGCCAACCTTCTCGATGACGCGGCGTAAGATGCCCGCGATGTAGCCGCCGGTATTCATCTCCATCTTGGTGTCAATCGACTCCACGAACACCGCTCCGCTATCGTTGATGAGGAGGACATTGGCTTGCGGGCGGCCGGCCTTGTCAGAGAACATGTCGCTTGCCACGGTGACACCGTCACGGCGCCAACTTGCTGAGATTGGAGCGAGAGCCGCCTCAATGCGCTGGCGCCACTTTGCAAGACCGGCTCCACCGATGTAGCGTCTCTTCGGCGCTATGTAATTCGGCCCCGCGCGCTTGGTGCTGGAGACTACATTCCGCCACGGTGGGTGGTCCGCGTGATGCTCCGGCACATGAAGAGCGGCGAAGAAGAGTCATATGGCCTCGTCCGCAGCCTGGTTCGCGCACGCGGCGTCATCGCCGTAGAAGTCGGTCATTCGACTCTTCTTCTTGTCTGAACCGCCGTTGACTGCGTCGACCGCCGCAATTTCAGCCGCACGCTTCGCTTCACGGGCCTTCAACTTGGACTCGTAATGCGCCTTCACGGCGTCACGTGCAATCTTCGGCGCTGCAGTGCAGCGATGCACTTCGCGACGGCGCATGCCGTTCCAGCCGGTGATATGCTGCGCGCAGCGGTAAACCCCGCCAACGAACTTGAAGTTGCACTAGGCACACACCTTGGTGCCGTTCTCGCCAACGCTATCGGCCGGACATTTTGTAGTGGCGGTACACAGCGTGCTTGCTGTCCATGGAGACCAAAGCCGTAACGGAAGAGGTCCCTCCAACGGAACTACCAGGAGCCTCTGAGGGTGAAGAACGAGAACTAGTTGCTGTAGGAGTAGCAGCCATGGTTGCTGGGGAGAAGAGGTAGCTAGAATATGAAGAGAGAGAATGAATATCAAGTGAACAAATGCCACTCTTTATGCCTGGGAGATTGTGTTGGGCTGAGCTCCCTACCAGTGAAGTAGTGGTTGAAGGGGGTGGTGGAATGCTGTGGCTTAAAGGGGTGTGAAACGGTAAAGGGGTGGGGTTGAGGAGGTTTGGAGCACAAAATTCAAAATTCGAGCTCAGTTCGCGACATCTGAGACTCGAAATCGAGATCGCCACGTCGCGAGCTTCAGATTGATTTTTTTTTTTTTTTTTTTTTTTTCGGTCTGCTCGAAATTAAACTCGGCGAATTTTCAAAATATACGCACCGAACGAATTCGTTAAGAGTATAAACGCAAAACGCAAAAGCAAAGTAGCGTATATTCCAACTTAGGCTTCAGCAGCTGCTTGCCAGTCTCCATGACGTTGAGTTGCATGAGGTGCCACCACTCTCAACCGCACTCCACCACCGCTCACCGCTTGAGCAGCTGCTTGCCGGTCTCCATGACGTTGAGTCGCATGTGGTGATTTGCTTGCTCCATCACCATCGCCCCATCCATCCGGTAGCTCTGCCAGATGAATGTCCTCCTGTCACCACTCACCACCGCACTCAACCACCACTCAACCGCACTCCGCCACACTCTACCACTCCCAATTGCACTCCACCCATCCGTCCTGCGCCGCGGCAGCTCTGCCACCACTCTCAATCGCACTCAACCACTGCTAACTGCTTCAGGAGCTGCTTGCCGGTCTCCATGACGTTAAGGCGCATGAGGTACTTCTCTTTCTCCATCACCATCGCCCCGTCCGTCCTGCGCCGCAACTGTCTGCCTGGCACCACTCTCCACCGCACTCAACCGCACTCAACCGCACACTCAACCGCACTCAACCACACTCAACCACATTCAACCGCACTCAACTGCACTCAACCACCGCTCACCGCTTGAGCAGCTGTTTCCCAGTCTCCATGACATTAAGGCGCATGAGGTGCTTCGCTTTCTCCATCACCATCGCCCCATCCGTCCTGCGCCTCGGTAGTTGTGCCAGCTGACTGTCTGCCTGCCACCACTCTCAACTGCACTCAACCACTCTCAACCACACTCAACCGCACTCTACCACCACTCACCGCTTGAGAAGCTGCTTGCCAGTCTCCATGACATTGAGTCGCATGAGGTGCTTAGCTCGCTCCATCACCGTCACCCCATCCATCCGTCCTGCGCCGCGGCAGCTCTGCCAGCTGACTGTCTGCCTACCACCACTCTCAACCGCACTCAACCTATCTCAACCACACTCAACCGCACTCTACCACCACTCACCGCTTCAGAAGCTGTTTGCCGGTCTCCATGACGTTAAGGCACATGAGGTGCTTCGCTTTCTCCATCACCATCGCCCCATCCGTCCTGCGCCGCAGCAGCTCTGCCAGCTGACTGTCTGCCTGCCACCACTCTCAACCGCACTCAACCACTCTCAACCACACTCAACCACACTCTACCACCACTCACCGCTTGAGCAGCTGCTTGCCAGTCTCCATGACATTGAGTCGCATGAGATGCTTAGCTCGCTCCATCACCATCGCCCCATCCGTCCTGCGCCGCGGCAGCTCTGCCAGCTGACTGTCTGCCTGCCATGCCATGCCCACACCCATACATGCATGTGCAAGCCACAGCGTTTTCAGCAGCACCCATGCAGCAGTACACCGTTCTGGAGCATACCCGTTATAAACACCTACCTGTTATAAGAACATGCGCGCCGCACTGCTTTCAGTAATACACGATCAGCTCCCGCGTATCTGCCAGCGGGTCCTTGGGATATAACAGCTTACCAGTTATAAGAACATACCCGTTATAAACACCTGCCTGTTATAAGCACGTGTGCGCCGCATTGCTTGCAGTAGTACACGATCAGCTCCTGCGTATCTCCCTGCGGCTCCGCGTCCTCGCTAGAGTACGTGCGCGTCGTGCGCTTCGGCATGCTCGTGGCTTAACGCTTCAAGATCGTTATATCCCCGAAAAAGACGGGCCCTCTACTGGGTGTAGAACGTGGAATATTTTCGCTCTATAAATTGCTAGAAAATAGATAACTACTACACGCACTGATATTCACCACGGAGTCACGCCTTGGCTGGTGGAAGCCGAAACGAGCCACTACGAAATTGGATCACGCGAGCATATACGGAGAAATCACCGAAATCACCGATAGAATCACACCCTCCCCGTGGTATCAATCAGCTCAGGATTCGAAAATCCCCACCGAGCTCTGAGACGCCTCAAAGGTCGATGGTCGATATGGACACGTCTCCTCCACCCAATCAGCTCAGAATTTGAGACTCCCCACCTATCGAGCACGAAACTCAGGACAAGAGTGCCAGTGAGTTAGCTGCGTTAAAACTGCATTGTTCTGGAATCTCTTTTGTAACGGCACACCCTAGTAACACTCTCTGAATGCTAGACCACCCTGATAGCACGCCCTAATTGCTAGACCACCCTATGAACACCCTCTGAAGGCTGCAGGCCTCTCTAGCGCCACGCCACCAGAACGCGTTGGCACAGTCGATGAACGGTACACGACTGTGCCAGTCAACACGCACAGTCGCGCGCTGACGGCTAATAAGGTACGAGAAATGAGAACGAATGAAGGCAGCCACGTCTTAGATGGATAAACGAGCAGATGATGTAGAGAAATAGTTATTACGCGGCAGTACCGCCTTGGGTGCTGTTTGTAGTCCGAAGCGCTGCTGCTGGCGATTGCGATACTCCACGCACCAGAGTCATCTGGAGCGGTTTACTTCGGTGCTTCACGATCTTACGAGGTGCGGTGGGAAATCTCGTTTCAGGAAAGTGAAACTGTGTTATGCTAGCTAACTAACTAATTAAACACAAGCCCATTGGCCATGCAAATTACCATAAGCACCCCAATCATTTCCAGATAAGAACTACCTACCAAGTACCATGCCTACACCATCCAACCTTGGCTTTAAGACTCTGGAACCTTACCTCCAACATGTAGGTACAAGGGCCAATCAGGCTTCAAACAGCCTCCTGCCAGCAGATGCACATCCCCCTGTATCTACCCAACCATCTATCGACACATGAACCAAAAGCACAGTGTGCCATGCAGTCAACATGGTACAGTTTCATTTCCAGTGCACTCCCATGCAGCAGCAGGCATTGTTGCACCTGCTTGTGTCGCCAGGTATTCAAGGCGCCTTTTGAGGCGCCTCAAAAGTCCTCAAATGTGCCGCCAGGTATTCAAGGCGCCAAAAATATCATCTCCATCCTGAAGGAGAGGGTGTGCTGCGTGCAGTGCTGCAGTCGTCATGGCATCCTCACGTACCCAGCAGCAGCATGTTCACATGCACCAGACGTTGCTGCAGAGCTGTTAACATCGCCAGGATTTCGAGTTGTTAGCATCGCCACCCGCTGCTGCTTCTCCGCTTCCCCTTGTAAAGCCAGCTGCCGCATCCCTTTCGCCAGCAGTCCCACCACCTCTGCTCCTCCTCCTCCTCCTCCTCTGCCGCCTGGCAGGGCGCTCCTGCATTGCTGGTGGAGACAAGTGGCACGGCAAGGGGTCCTGAACGGCCCTTCATCTAGTTTCAGTGGTTGGTTCACTGACATGAAAGCCACTGGTGCATTTTGCACAATGGAGCTGAACGAAGAAGCAGCAGAAGCAGCAGAAGAGGCAGCAGAAGCAGCAGAAGAAGCAGCAGCAGCAGCAGCAGCTTCAGTACGAGTTGCAACAGCTGCACCAGCACCAGCAGCAGCAGCAGCCGCAGCAGCAGTAGGAGGTATTCCATCTCCCAAACGCTCTGCAGAGACAGCAACGCGGCGGGAGTAAGCAGCAGTCCACTTGGCAGCCACGTATTGGTGCCTGCGCCACGGTGGTACGTGCATCCCCTGTGCGTGGATCGACTGCCACACCGCCTCGCACAAAACTTTCACCAGCTGGTGCAGCCGGTCCGGGCAGCCCACAAAAAAAAGTGGGGTCAGCTGGAGGATGAAATCGTAGTGCAGTGTGCGATGGGCGATTTGGAACTGTGCCCGGAAATCGGGGTCGATTATTAAACGGCTGGGCAGGCGGTTGGGGGAGGATGGTTGAAGAATGACGTCGCAGTAGTCATGGCAGCCTGTGATTAGGGGAAGAAAGAAGGGGAGGTAGGGAGGGGAGAGGGCGGGGGGAGGGGTGAGGTGAGGTGAGGCGAGGGGAATAGAGGAGGGGGAGATGGAAAGGAGGGGTGGGGAGACGAGGATGATAGGACGAGAAACAAAAAAGATTGGAAAGAAAAAATAGTGGATAGATAAAAGAAAGGCCAGAGCACAGCCACCGAGATAGGGCCCACTCTGGGTACAGGATAATGTCACATACTCATGGAAGCCTGAAACCAGGGGAAGAAAAACGGGAAGGAGGGAACCGGAGAGAGGGGGGGGGGGGGGGGGGGGGGGGGGGGAGGGGAGTTGGGGGAAGGGGGAGGAAGGGAGACAGAAGGAAGTGCAGGAGGGTGAGAGGACATGGATGATTTGTGAGAGACGAGTGATGCATGCGGAATGGCGAGTGAAGCTTGTATGCAGGAAAAGGCGCGAGCAGGAAGCGAAGGGGAAGTGGCAGGAAGTCAAGACAATGCCAGAGCAAGTGAGATAGAGTCCAGTTCATGGCGAATCATCCGCATATAACTGCATATCATTTTGACTCGCAAGTATAAGAAAAGAACAGAAAGAAAATCAAAGAAAAGGAAACAAAAAAAGAGGAAGGAAAATGAACTCAGAAGAAGGAGAAGAAGAAGAAGCCTTATATGGTGCAACAGTACGAAAGCTGGCACTGTAAGTCTCTCACCCTTGAATAATTCCAGTGTGCATGGTAGATTGACTCGATTGACCAGTCACTGCAGCTTTGCTCTTACCATGAGGGAAGCCGTTGAAGCACTTCCAGTGAGCATGGCACACTGCAGCGTCGTATCCCCTCGCCTGCAACTTTTGAACAACCAGGTTGTGTATGCTGGCGCTGCTGCTGCTGCTGCTGCTGCTGCTACTGTTGCTGATACTTCTGGTGGTGATAGCGCTGCTACTGCTGCTGGTGTTGCTGATGCTGCTGCTGCCGGTGCTGCTTCTGCTACCGTCAACAGGTGTGGTGGTGGGAGCGTGTTTCATGGCAGCAGAGACGATCTCAAGCACTGCATACTCCTCTGGCGTCTCACAACAGCTGAGGGTCTGCTATGGGGAAGAGTGGAGGCGGGAGGGGGAAGAGGGACGGGGAAAGAGGGTAGGGGAAAGGGGAAGAGGGAAGTGGGGAGTAGGGGCGGGTGGGGAAATGATGCACGAACAGGGAAGCACACGAGCAGACGGATGCGGAATGAGACAGGTGTAGTGATGGGAGCATGTTTCATGGCAGCAGAGACGATCTCAAGCTCTGCGTTCTCTTCTGGCGCCTCACGGCAGCTGAGGGTCTGCTATGGGGACATCAACAGAGAGGAAGCGGGAAAAGAATGTGGGATGAATAGGAAATACGCACAAACAAGCGCACACAGGAAAATACAAGAGAGACAGACGCATGATTCAGAAGAACAAACGAAATGAGGTGGAGAAACAAAGGGAACGCAATAACATGGGTGGTTGAGTGCCGAGACAGCTCAAATGCAGCGCGGAACAACGATAAGGAAAAAACAAAACAGAAAGAAAAAAAAAAGAGAAAGATTAGCAAGACTGGGATATTTCTCCCTCTCCGGATATTGCTCCTTCTCCTTCTCCAGCTACAACTGCGAGCCTACACCCTCAGGCTTGCACCCTCAACCTTGCACCCTCCACCATAAGGCTTCAAGTTTTACTGACCTCGACCAATGAAGCAAGGCGTTCAAGGCTGTCCGATGCTCCAAATGCCCGAGACTCTGTAACCCATCGTCCATGGGGATGGTTACGCGCGTTCGCAACCGCTGCTTCTGCTGCTGCTCTTGCTCCTGCTGCTGCTGCTGCTGCTGCTGCTGCTGCTGCTGCTGCTGCTGCTGCTGCTGCTGCTACTGCTCCTGCTGTTCCTCCTTTCCCTGTTGCCGCCTTCCACGTCTGCCAGGTCCCGCAACACCCGCGGTCGTCATCGCCAGTAGCGTCGCAGGCAACGTCACAAGAAACGTCACAGGCATCGCAGGGGTCGCAGGCATCGCACTCGTTCTCGAGATAGTCACACACCATTTCGCCAAGGCACAGGGAGTCACACGAGGTGCCGCTGCTGCTGCCATGGGTCGAACTGTAACAGCAAGGAACAAGAAATCGTCAATTTAGGATTCTACAAAAAGTAGGGGAGAAGATAGAACGAGAGAAGCAAGGGAAGAAGGCGAGCGGTACGTAAGCTGACGGTCCAAGATTGGAACGTTACTCGCTGTCGAAGCGGCCAGAGCATGGCCATAGTGGTAACCCGCCGAAGCAAATTCGGCGAAATCGATGCGCGCATTTGCCGGTCGGACGATCGGATTTCACTGACTGACCTGTTGCAACTGCCGTCGGGCTTCTTGCAAGGAGCGTGGTTCACGTGGCATATCAAGTGACGGCCGGCCGGCATAACAACCAGGGTCGACTCGCGAAAGGCAGTCGTTTTCGTCTCAGCAACAACAGATTCCATTGGTCGAGGCTGGATCTGATCGGTTGAAATTTCCGCAAACGCGATGTTACTGGTGATCGAAGGGAGAGGAGGAAGGAGATGGTTGGTTACGGCAACTTTTCCAATGGACGGTTGGAAATCGGCCTGGCAGGTGGAGCTCGTGTCTAGGTTAATAACGCTGAGGAGCCCCGACATAGTTCCGAAAACGAACCGAGTATAGGAATGATCGCGAGTGCCGAAAAAGACGGAAGTTTCTATTTTTCTGGCCGCTTTGAGATGGCTAATTCGGCGAAGAAATGCGACTCAAGTAACTGAAGACAAGTGTGTAATTCCCCAAACACGCGAGAGCAAAATATGCCTCCAACCTAGAACAAAATGCAATGGACAACTATTACTAAAGAATACTTGCAGAGAAGGATCTCTGCCAGCAATAGCAGGAGTATTTCACATGGTTGGATTCATGAATCTTGGAACCCTACCCTCCTGGTGCTGTTCCCTAGGAAGGCCAGAGTGGGACCAGCTAAGCCAATCACCCAAATCCATGGCTGCTCTGGATGGGGGAAACCGAAGTTCCAGAAGCGGTTGCGTAAGCGGCAAGGTTTCTGGTTCCCATTGGAAACAGATGGAACGAAGCTACAGACGCTGAGGTGGACGGCCATGGTTCCCGCATGCCTCCCAGCAGTGGAATCCATGGCTGCAGTTCAATGCAGATAGAAAGAAGCTGCTGTACTCGTACAGCCAGCTGCTGCTATTTGGATGGCCATAGTTTCGTGTTTTGGTGGGATGATTTGAACTGTCACCGTACTGGAAAGTATTGTAACACACAGTATTGTATAGAGCCGCTTGTCACTCTGTCCCTGGTGAAATCAGAAGTCAGGAAGAACCTGGATCTCCTTGGCGGGAATACCTCGCCAATTTCGAACATCCAAGGCTGACATTGAAGCGCGTGCCCGTTAATTACGTACGTACGTTCGAGACGTGGATGAAACGAAATGCTACTGTACCTTCATGGTAGAGGATTCTGACCACTCGAGAAAGAGCGGTGGAGTTGTTCCGGATAATGTGTGTCATTCAGAATGTGGAGTGGATGTGGAAACCGCATGCAAGTCACCTGGCCTGAACCCTGACCGACGCATTGGAATCTACTGCACTGTAGTAAGTTGCGGCTCGGAAAGTTTTCAAATATTGCGCACAAATTCACATCATAGAGAAATTGGGCTCACATGCGTAAAACCTAGCCAATATTCATCTGCCCAGTTCAATGCTGAAACTCGAATCGACACCGCACATGGCAAGGGTATCGTACGTACGAGCCCTTTACGAGACTCATCGCCATGGTCGTTACGGAGTTACTATGAACGAACTCCGGCCATGTGGAGTTTGATTCTGCGAAGTCTGTTACAGGTATCCTCAAACACAGGCACCGGCGAGCTTGTGCGACAGGAAGAGCAGAAGAAAGTCGCAAGTATATCGCCCCATCGTCAACCTCTTCAGGTAAATCCTCAAAACAAGTGCAGTTAGCTCCTAGACCATACCATAGCTGTTGTTGACTACTTGCCTAACTGCTGGTAGTTAGTTGCGACCTGCGGGTGCACAACCGTACGATTACACAATGGACGGCTCTAACGCCATCGCGATCACCACCGCAGGTAGCGACAGTGCGATTAGCAAGAATGACGCTTCGCCAGCAGCGTCAGCAGCGTCAGCGAAGAAACCCGCGCCGAAGCGCTACGTGCGCTCGCAGATCCCGAGGGAGATCTTAGAAGATCCCGCGCTGCTCGCCGCCATGTCCGTTCTGCCGCCCAATTACAACCTCGAGGTTCCCAAAACCGTGTGGCGCGTGCGACAAGCGAAAGCGCGCTGCGTGGCACTGCAGCTTCCCGAGGGCCTTCAGATGTTCGCAACAACCCTATGTGACATTATCGAGCGTTTCGGCGGCGCGGAGGGCTGCGTGATTCTCGGCGACGTGACGTACGGCGCGTGCTGCATCGACGACGTTACCGCAGCAGCTCTTGGAGCGGATTTTCTGGTGCATTACGGGCACAGCTGCCTTGTACCGCTGGATCATACGGCCATTCCGTGTCTCTACGTGTTCGTCGATATCACCATCGACGTGCCGCATTTTATAGACACCTTGAAGCTCAATTTTCCGCCAACTGACCATCTCGTACTCGCTGGTGAGTTTTTTTTTCCCTTTCCTGCCGTGTGTTTCGGTAAGAGCATAATTTTTGTATTTAGGGAGACCGAGGGAGAGGCAGGAAAGTTTGCTTGTCTAAGGAAGAACATTACATTACACCTTACAACCCTTCTTAAACCTCAAACCTCGGACCCATCACCATTTCACATGCCAAAGCTCAACCCTAAAACCCACCCCCACCCTCTCTTCCCACCCCCCCCCCCCCTCCTCCCTCCCCCTCCCTCCCCCCTCTCCATCCCCCAAGCCCATTTTCTTGCCAATGCATCCCTTCCCCCCAACCCCTCCCTCTCCTTTGTCCCAACCCTCTCTTCCCCCCCCCCCCCCCCCCCCTCTCCCCCCCCCCCCCCCCTCCTCTTCTTCCCCACTCCAGGTTACCATTCAGTTCACAGCAGCGATCCACGCAGCCAAAGCGGTTGTTCCTCAAACCCCTTCAGAGCATCAGTTGTTCCTATCGCTCCCTCTCCCCCCCCCCCTCTGCCCCTGCCTTCCCCGTCCTCTTCCTCCCCACATCAGAGCATCATCATTCCTTGCCAAGTCTTCCCCTCTCCCCATTTCTTTGCCAGCAACCGCCCCCGTCCCGACACACTGCCGCCGCGCCGTGCCCCCTCCTCCCCTGCCTTTCCTCTTCCCCCAGGCACCATTTATTTCACAACTGCAACTGCTGTACATGCGGCCAGACCGGCCCTCTCAAGCCACTTCAGAGGCATCACGGTGCCTCAGGCCAAGCCGCTGTCCGGAGGGGAGGTGTTCGGAAGCACCTCTCCCTCGCTCTCCTTCCCAGTGAATCTATGCCAAATCTTCCTTTCCCCCTCCCTGCCCCCCGTTCCCCGTCCCCCTCCCTGCCCCCCTCTCTCTTCCTCCCAGGCACCATCCAGTTCACAGCAGCAGTGCATGCAGCCAAAGCAGCCCTGTCTGGCCATTTCAGAGCCATCTCGGTGCCTCAGGCCAAGCCTTTATCGGGGGGAGAGGTGCTTGGATGCACTGCCCCCTCCCTCTCTCCCTCGTTCAAGGGAGCCGCAGCAACAGGCGGAGGAGCAGGAGGAGGAGCAGGGGTAACAACAGGAGGAGGAGGATCAGGAGCAGGAGCAGCAGCAGCGGGGGCATCAGGATCTGGTCCAGATGCGCTCGTGTTTGTTTCAGATGGTCGGTTTCACCTCGAAGCAATGATGATTGCAAACCCCACCCTCCCAGCATTTCGCTACGACCCGTATGCCCGCTCCCTCACTCGCGAGCGCTACGACCATTCAGGCATGCGAAACGCGCGGCGGCTGGCGGTTACCCGGGCGAGCAGGGTGCGGGGGAAGCGGTGGGGTGTTGTGCAGGGTACCCTTGGTCACCAGGGTAACCCGCGCACTGTAGACCACTGCGTGAGGAGGATCCGCGCTGCGGGCGGCACGCCGGTGGTGTTTCTTGTCTCGGAGCTGACTCCGGAAAAGGTGGCGGCTGTGGGGGTGGGGTCTGGCGGGATGGCTAGGTCGGGTCCGACAGATGCTGCTGGTGACGTGGCAGGAGCCTGTGCTGGTGACATGGCAGGACCTGGTGCTGACGTTGCAGGAACAGTAGGCGACGTGGATAGGGCCCTCGGTGAGCTGTCAATAGGAGGAGGAAGCATTAAGCAGGACAGCATAATAAGCTTCGACAAGGAGAGTGGGCGAGGGACGGGCATAGATGCATGGGTGCAGGTGGCATGTCCGAGACTGTCCATAGACTGGGGGGAGGCCTTTACTGCCCCCATGCTCACTCCCTATGAGCTTGAGGTTGCACTGGGGTTCGCTTCCCCCTGGTGGGGAGGCTGCTTCTGTGACAGTGACTCTAACGTCCAGGGGGGTTGTAACGAAGGTGATTGTATCGAGCGTGGTTGTGGAAGTGGTGCTACAGGAGATGGAAATGGGTCGCAAGAGGACCAGCTGCAACGGTGCAAGCAGTGCGGAGCTTGTAAAGGGGATAAGAGGGAGAGGGTGTACCCCATGGATCACTATGCCAGGGATGGCGGCCCTTGGAATGCTTCCTACATGCCTAAAAGAGCTGCTAGGTGATTTATATCTGTACGACTCTTGTTAGCAGCTTATAGAGGGAATATTGTGTACATTCTTTCTCATTAAACCCATGCAACGTTTCCTCACTGAACCCATGGCATTGCTTTCTCATTCAACGCATGTCATAGAGGCCCCCTAACATAACATGTAAGGTATCGTATAAATTTTCATGATGTTGCTATGCCAACAGTTTTATAACAGATTTTGTGTACACAATCTATTTTAAGCCTGAAAAGTATCCTAGAAGTAATTTTAATATGAAAGCACATACGAATCACAAGCAGAGTCTCAAGAAGTACCGGTACAGATACTGCAATAAATTCTAGAGGTTTGTAGTGAGTGACAAATTACAGAACAAAAATAGAACTGTAGGTATTCTTCCTCTTGCACTCTTCTTACAGCAAAACGGACCTCGCTTGTTCGAGTTCCGCCTTTTTCCGAATCTGTGGTCAAACGAAAGTTGAATCTACTGTCAGCCAGGAGCGGAGCATGAACTACGTCTCTAAAGCAAGTTCTCTTCAAATCTCATCCCATATCTCGACGGCCATAGCTATCCCGAGGTCAAATGGAGCTGTCTGATGTAATCAGGGAGCACGATGGTTTCATTGTCAAGTGGTAGATACCTTGCGGACGACCTTCGTTAGAAGAATCAGTAGCGAGCATGGAGCTATTTATGGATCCTGATAAGTTATCAACTTAGCGACTGCTGAAACCGTAAGGCTGACTAGCATATTCGCATATATTCGCAATGCCTGCAGCTGCGGACGCTATGGCTTTCGAGGTTCGGTTTAGGATACCGAGTGACCTCGTTCAGCGGAGATCCGACGACAATAGCAGCGATTCACAATCCAACGACAACAATCCCGAAATTAAACCATCGGGATCATCCCACGTGGACGTCCACGTGGCCGTCTCTCCACAGGAGTCCCTCCGAGCCGTCTTCACCAGATTGTTCCAATCACATTTGCCACATTGCTACCTGCAATGTCAGACACGTGAGCAACAGGAACCAGAGAATGGCGGGAACGCGGTCGGAAAGGACTTATCTGGCGGAACGCAGATGTCGCAGCCGTCGCAGCAGTCGCTGTCGTCGCAGCTGTCGCAGCAGTCGCAGCCGTCGCAGCCGTCACAGCAGGTCCGTTTCATGGTCCTAGGGCAGGTGGTGTACCTCTCGCCGGACTCCACTGAAGAACACGCGAAGCTCAAATCCGGTTCAACCATCAAGGTGCTTCCCGTGAAGACTGTGCATGAAGGGGGTGAAAATAAGGGCGAGTTGGGAGGTAAGCACGGGATGAATGCCGTGCCTGCTGCTGCGAATGCTGCTGCAGCTGCAGCAGCGGTAATGCCTCTTACTGCTGCCTGTGCTGATCTTCCTTCCACTGCCGCTGCACCTGCCGCTGCACCTGCCGCTGCACCTGCCGCTGCACCTGCCGCCACACCTGCTGTTGCAGCTGCCGTACCTGCTTCTCTGCCTGCTGCGCCGCCAGCTGCGCCGCCTGCTGTGCCTACCAGCACGCGCATCGACTACAGCAAATGGGACCACCTCGAGGCCAGCAGCGACCAAGAGGAGGAGTTTCAGGAGGAGGAGGATGACGAGGAAGAGGAGGAAAAGGAAAAGGACGACGAGGAGGAGGAGTTGGTGGAGTACAGGTTGGGAGAGGACCTGAAGTGGGAGGTTGTTGGAAGGAGTCGCAGAGGGAAGGCGAAGGCCGAGGCAGTTGCTTCTGGCACCTCGGCGATCGGTCACACTGGTGGCCTTTGCTCCTCCTCTCCTACTGGCGACGGTAACAGCCCAGGAGAACTCCGATTGAGCGCAGCACGCAGCAGCAAGGAGGAGGAAACAGCCGTGGAGAAAGGGAGCAAGAAACACGAGGAAATAGAGCTGAAGCCACAGGCGGCGTCATCATCAGCTGCAGCAGCCAAGCCAGGGAAGGCCAAGGGCGAAGCGAAACGGCCAGAGGAAGAGGAGGGAGTTCATCGGTCAGCAGGTGCTTCGAAACGACCAGAGGAGGAGAAGGGTGTCCGGCTGCTGGATCGGACGGACATGGTTCACTATCTAGACGTGAGGAACGGCTGGGATTTAGCTGCCTGCGAGCCGTGCTTCGATCGTGTAGTCTCCCGCCGGACAAAGCTCGCCCTGGGGATTCACAGCCGGAGGGACTTCCGCTCAACCCTCCGGCGGCACGTGAAAGAATCCATTTCCCTCGTGCCACCAGCCAATCAGGCGTCGGCAGCAGCCCAGAAGGCAAAGGCACGGGCGATTGAAGAGTTCTCCTCGAAAGTACCTCTGCCGGAGGGGGCGCTGGGAGGGGGGCAAGGGGTGCAGTCCTCTCGTGAGCGGTACAAATGGAAGTGCGAGCGGGCGGCGGGGGTTTGTGCAGAGGCGATGGTGCTAGAGTGGATGGCTGAGCCGCGTGTGGGTTTGATGATGGACCTTGGGAGGATCAGATCCCGCCTGCCAGGTATTCTAGGGGTTGAAGGCCCTGCTGCTGAATCCCCTGCTCCTGCTGCTGTCTCTGCTCCTGCTGCTCCTGCTTCTTCTGGTTCTTCTGCTGCTTCTGCTGTCACTCCTGTCACTGCGGCCACTACTGTCGCTGCGGTCGCTGCTCCTGCTCCCGCCCATGCCCCTCATCCCGCAGTCGCCTGGTCCTGCTGCTACCGCTGCAGCAGCTGCTGGGCTGCCTACCGCCGCGCCGTCAGCTTCGCCACCTTCCTCGTGATTGTAGCGAGGCTGCCCCGCATTGTGACTCTATGGAAGGCCCACATGGACTCCGATTCGGCCACGTTCCCAGGGGTAATGCGTGAGCTAGGGGCGGTCAGGCAGGGGAAGGAGGATCAGTTAGCCTCCCTGCTGGTGCAGGTGCTTGGGGTGAAGGAGGCTGGTGAGCTCAAGGAGGGGTTTGGGTTTTTCATGCAGAACTTGCTGTCAGGGGGGGTGAGGGAGCGTGGGGAGGGGGAGAGGAAAGCAGGGGCAGGGGCGGGGAGGGGGGTTGGGGAGCAGGCGGGAGGGGAGGGATGGCGGATGTTTGAGGAGATGATGGGGATGATGCGCATGATGGGCGCGAGTGATGCTCCCACAGCGGCGGATGTGATGACGTGGATGCGGCATGTCATGGGCGTGGACGGAGAGGAGGAGGGGGGCGGCACGGTGGTGTGTATGGTGGAGGGGAGCGAGGCCGGGGGGAGGGGAGGGAGGCGTGGTGAGAGTGCTGGGAGGAAGGGTGGGAAGGATGGTAAGTGGAGGGAGCACCTGAAAGGGCCTGTGTGGGAAAGGTATGTGGATGGCATGACTTGGATTCTGGAGCATGGAGGGGGGGAAAGGAGGGAGTTCAAATGCAGCCACTGCAGTGAGGGGGGCGACAGCAGCAGCAGCAGTGGGATTTGCAGCAGTGGGAGCAGTAGTGGGAGCAGCAGCAGCAGCGGCGGCGGCAGCAGCAGCAGTGGCGGCAGTGGTGGTGGAGGCGGCAGCAGCAGCAGCAGCAGCAGCTTGGACACCAGGGGTGCTCCCAAGGGCATGTATCTGAGCGGCGTGGGCGCCACCGAATTCGCCCTTGCATTCGCCACTGTGATTTCCAACAGCGGGCAGCGCAAGCAGGGCGAGGTGTTCTGTATGGACGCTGAGAGTGCGAGCAAGGCACGCGTGGAAGATGCTGCGATGGAGGAGGCGAGGGAGAGGCTTGTCAGAGAGAAGGTGGGAAGGGAGGTGCAGGTGGGAGTGGGAGGTGCCATAGATGATACAGCAGCTGCATCGTCGGTCGTTAACAACACAACCCCGCTGCTCACCGACCCACCCGCCCCTTCCCTCGACCCTGTCAACACGAACCCGATCGTCTCAGCAATGGCGTATCGGGTCGGCTGTATCCTGCAGTGGGTGCGAATCTACGGCTCAGATTTAATCTCAGCTAGGAGGTGCATCAAGAACAGCCCGCACGGCAGAATCCTGCCAATGCGCCACCCGCTTCGGGACCTTCCGAGCCTGCTGGTCAGGCTCGGTGCCATCCCCAAGCCTGTGCCTTGGAAGCATTTTGATTCGGAGTGGGAGGAGTGGCCACGTGGTGAGGAAGATACAGTGAAGCTTCCTGACGATCATAGCGTGCGTTGTTTCCATTTGGGGATTGTGGAGAAGGCGGGGGCAGGAGATCAGGAGAACAGGGGAAGCAGCAAGAGAGGTGACAGGGGAAGTGGCACGTGGAGCGGTGGGGGGAGCGGCGGGAAGCGTGGCAAGGGACGTGGCAGGGGGAGTGGCGATAAGGGGGGAGGGGGAGCGCACCCCGCCAGAGCACCACCACCACCTCAAAACAATGCTCTGCCCATCGTGCGCTGCGCAGCAGACGCTCATTTCCTGGTGGAGTTCGCCGGGCATCAGGTCTACCCCCCTGCGTGCGCCCGCTGCCGCTCGTGCCTCGATCAATTCACCTACTACATCCCCTTCCTCACCCTCCTCGCCAATTTCGCCTACCGCCCCGCCACCGTCCTCCTCAACCGCTTCCTCTCCGTCTTTCCCCCCTGTTCGCCGGAATTCGCTAAGCTCGTGGACCTTCTTCTGTTAGAGCCGTTCCCTCGGGGGACCTGTGCGGCATTCCAGGTGCACGTGGTGAGGGAGAGAGCGGAGGAGCTTCCCGTTCACTTTTTGCTCAACGTGGCTCTGAACTGGCCGAATGCGATGCTGCAGGTCGAGGAGATTGGGATGGTCGGTCGGGACGAGTGGAAGGGGGAGCTGCTGGGGGGGGCGGACGGGAGGAAGGCAGGGAGAAGGACGCGTGGGGGTGGTGGGGGAGGGAGAGGAGAGGAAGGGGGGGAGGAGGAGGATGATGGGGAGGTGTGGGAGGAGGTGAAGGACTGGGGCTTTGCGGTGCTGATTGCGTGGAGGACGGATGCGATGACCGATCTGATCGACGACTGCAGAAGAGGCAGCAGCAGCGGGGGGCCGCCACGCAAGTGCAGCAAGGACGTGGCGACAGAGCTGTGCAACAGGTGCCTGGAGTCAAGGTTCCGTGAGGAGTGGGACGGGGGGGTTCCGCCTCCCAGCAGCAGCATCTTCACCAGCGGAAGCAGCAGCAGTGGTAGTAGAGGGAAGGGGAAGAAAGAGAAAGAGGAGGAGGTGCCGGCTTATTTGAAGGCATGGCCAGGGGGTGTCAATCTGGTGGCTTGCCTGCGAGAGATGCTGCTGGGAGAGCCCTGCTACCGCCCTGCCCCCGCTGGTGCTGCCACTGGTGCTTCCTCTGCTTCAGCCTCTGCCCCTGCTGCTGCTTCTGCTGCTTCCGCATCGGCCACTTGCTCTGCCACTCGTGCTGCTGTAAGCACTGCTGCTGCTGCGGCTGCTCCAAGTTCTAATGACACGAATGCACATCAGGGCAGTGCAGGCCCCGGGAGTTCCAAAAAGCGTGTGTGCGGTGCTGCAGGGTGCGGCGTGGTGGAAGGCGGTGGGGTGAAGCTGAGGAGTTGCTCTGGGTGTGGCAGGGTGGCGTATTGCGGCAGGGAGTGCCAGAAGGCCCACTGGCCCTCCCACAAGCTCGCATGCCCCGGCAGGGCTGGTGGGAAGAAGAATGAGAAGAGCAATGACAATGTGAGTGTTTTTTGAATTTTCTCATTCGGGGCAAAGTGAGTAGTGGAAGAATATGCAAGGGCAGTGGCTGGAGAGAACTGAAGATGACACAACTCAGTATTGCATGCAGTAGAGACCGTTTTTAGGTGCGATGGCCCTCCCACAAGCTCACATGCCTCGGAAGGGCTGGTGGGAAGAAGAGTGAGATGATTAATGAAAAGGTGAGTGGGCATTTGGTATATGTGTCAGCTGCTGCTGACGGGTCAGGATAGGTGACAGGATACATCATGGGTCTAATCTCAAACACGACAGATGGGCATCTCTCCTGCGCAAATCGTGATTTGATTCGGTTTGAATCCTCTCCTCCACTGTTGCCAGCTGCCTGTTTGCAATGTTGATTCACCTTGCACTCACAAACACCCCATACCTCCTGGCTTTCCTAATTTCCTTGCTCTTCTATGGACATGTCTGAAGTCTTATGACTCTACCATACGATGAGGACAGGCCACACTTGTACGTATCAGTGCTTTCTTTGTGACACGTTTTGAATACCATTCAAACCCTTCAACATGATCAGAATAAGTTGACATGTTCTGCTGATATGCAGTGTGTTTTTCTACTGTTTGAGAGCCATCGTCTGACGTGGTACCGGTTTAGTTTTCACATTTTTATTTATTACAATTCTGGCATTGCTCCACCTAATACCTGTCATCTCCGGCTATAGGACCCGGGGAAATCTCTACATATTCACAATACCGTAATAAGTTTGAGGTGAACATTTAGGTGGCAGGAGTTTTTTACGTCTTAGTGTCAAATGTTGAACATTGATATGATAGGCTATAGTGAGTTGCACTCTAGGGGGTACAGCTTCTAGGGTTGCTCATTTGTACCCCATTCGTTTCTATTCCAATCATTCCGTTGTTCGCTAACTTTGAGATGGTATCATGAGTAGGTGTCGATCCTCTCGCCTAGCCTAGCCTAGCTCGCGCCCTAGCGCCCTCCGCGCCCTTGCGCCCTAGCACACTCCGCGCCCTCCGCGCCCTCCGCGCCCTTGCGCCCTAGCACCCTCCGCGCCCTCCGCGCCCTCCGCGCCTTAGCCACCGCGCCCTCCGCGCCATCTCCGCGCCTTAGCGCCCTCCTCCTCCGCGCGTTAGCGCCCTCCGCGCCCCTAGCCTGCGCCCCTAGCCCGTCGCCCAGGCCCACGCCCTAGCCCGTCGCCCAGGCGCCCGCCCTAGCCCGTCGCCCAGGCGCCCGCCCTAGCCCGTCGCCCAGGCGCCCGCCCTAGCCCGTCGCCCAGGCGCCCGCCCTAGCCCGTCGCCCAGGCGCCCGCCCTAGCCCGTCGCCCAGGCGCCCGCCCTAGCCCGTCGCCCAGGCGCCCGCCCTAGCCCGTCGCCCAGGCCTGCGCCCTAGCCCGTCGCCCAAGCGCCCGTCCTAGCCCGTCGCCCAGGCCTGCGCCCTAGCCCGTCGCCCAGGCGCCCGTCCTAGCCCGTCGCCCAGGCGCCCGTCCTAGCCCGTCGCCCAGGCGCCCTCCCTGGCTCGTCACCCCAGCCCCGCAGGCAGCGCGCCACGCGGGTAGCGCGCCCTGCGGGTAGCGCGCCCCGCAGGAGGCGCGCCCCGCGGGTAGCGCGCCCCGCAGGCAGCACACCCTGCAGGCAGCGCGCCCCGGGGTGCTTTAGTGCCAGAAAATAAATAAATAAATTAAACCCAAAAAAAAAAAAAAAAAAAAGGGGTTCACAGTGGGGGCCTGCGACTGTCGCCCGCGTTCCTGCTTGCCGGACGACCTGCACAGTTGCCTACATCCCGCAGCCGTCAGTACTGCAGCCCCTACTGTCGCACGTACTTTCCACTGCCAGTGGCTCTACTAGCGGCAGCCGACAGCCGCACTTACGGTCTCTAGCCCCGGCCGTTCCTACCTCCAGCCAGCCCTAGCTCGCCGCTTCTAGCTCCAGCCGTTCTCGCTCCAGCCGTTCTCGCTCCTCGCTCGTAGCTCAGTTTGCTCCGTGCTCCGGCCGTTCCTCGCCTAGTTTCACCTGGCGCTTCTAGCTCAGTTTGCTCCGTGCTCCAGCCGTTCCTCGCCTAGTTTCACCTGGCGCTCCTAGCTTAGTTCGCTCCGTGCTCCAGCAGTTACTCGCCTGGTTTCACCTGGCGCTCCTAGCTTAGTTCGCTCCGTGCTCCAGCAGTTACTCGCCTGGTTTCACCTTGCGCTCCTAGTTGTTCTCGTTTTTCACAGCAGCCTGTCGCTCCTGTCGCTCCTAGCCTGCCGCTCCTGCACCCCGCTAGCTTTTATCATGGAGTCCACTAGGGTTCTCCAGCAGCAGGGACAGCAGCAGCGGCCTTTTCAGCAGTGGCTTCCGCAGCGGCAGGGACGCCCTCAGCAGCTGTGGCGCCCTCAGCAGCCATGGGGGCCTGGTGGTTCAGGTCGCGTTGGCTGCAGCAGCGGCCCAGCCAGCTGGGGGGCTCGTCGCGGTGGCCGCGACGTCGGCCCCTGCCAGTACCGGATCCTGACCGGCCCTGGTGCTGGCACTACCTGCTGGCGTCCTGACCACTCTGCACAGCGCTGCTACAGCCGCCTCGACGACCTTTACCGTGAGCGTTTTGGGCCTGAGTCGGCTCCCCCGATCTGGCCCGGTCTGTTTCGTAGTGGTTTTCCTGTGTTTGATATGTCTATGGATGCTGTTTATTCTGTCACGTACGGATCTCTTGGCTTACGTGTACCTAGCTTAGGACCTTTGCCTGTTGCTAGTGTCGGTACTTGTGCTTTTAGTGTAGGTGCTTGTGTAGTCACTAGCCCAGCCGTGACGACTGCTGTTGCGTCGCTCTCCTTCACGCTGGACTCCGGCGCGTCTCAGTGTTTCTTCCGCGACCACACCACTGTCACACCTCTTTCGGCTCCAGTCCCACTTGCCCTGGCTGATCCTACTTCAGGACCAGCAGTTGCTCGTAGCTCGACCACCCTCCCGTGCCCGGCTGTCCCCTCTGGTTTCCTCACTGGTCTCTACATCCCCTCGTTCTCTCGGAACTTGGTGGGTGTTGGATACCTTCAGGACCGGGGGATCACAGTCACTTTTCCTGCGCACGGGAGGACTGCGATCTGTACGGACTCTTCCACCGGGGCAGTTCTTGCCACGTTCACCAGAGAGCCCCACTCAGGTCTCTTCGTCCTGCACACTCCGCCCCCGCAGGTAGCTGCGTCAGGTCAGGTTGCTTCGTCCCCCCCGGTAGCAGAGTCCGGTCAGGTGGCTGTGTCCAGTCCGGTCGCTGTGTCCAGTCCAGTCGCTGCGTCTTGCTCCTGTCGCTCTCTCGCCCACCGCACCGTCCTGTGGCACCACCGTCTTGGCCACCCGTCGATCCCTCGCCTTCGTGGCATGCTCAGTCAGTGACTAGTCACAGGTCTCCCACGCACCTTCCTGTCGCTCCCTCCCTCGCTTGCCCCTCCTTGCTCTCCGTGCGTCGCCGGTCGCTTACGTGCCACTCCCCACTCCTCCTCCCTTCGTCCGGCCACCGCTCCCTTCGAGACTCTCCACTTGGACGTCTGGGGCCCTGCCCCGACGCAGGGGTCTGGGAGGGAGCGCTACTTTCTGGTGGTCGTCGACGACTTCTCCAGGTACACCACAGTGTTTCCTCTTGCGAAGAAGTCCGAGGTGACTGCTACGCTGATCAGGTGGCTTCTAGCCACTGAGGGCACTCGTGGTCGTCGAGTCAGTTGTCTTCACTCCGACCGTGGGGGCGAGTTTCGCTCCGGCATTCTCGGCGGATTCTGCGGCGAACAGGGCATCACCCAGTCCTGGACGCTGCCAGAGTCCCCACAGCAGAATGGGGTTGCTGAGCGCCGCATAGGCTTGGTCATGGACATCGCCCGCACGTCCATGATTCATGCCCGTGCGCCCCATTTTCTGTGGCCTCACGCGGTTCGCTACGCCGCACACCAGCTGAACCTCCAGCCGCGTGTCTCGCGGCCCGAGGCTTCACCGACCAGTCTCTGGACTGGATCCCCTGGTGTTGGGTCGGCCTTTCGAGTCTGGGGCTGCCTTGCACTTGTTCGCGACACCTCCGCGGACAAGCTCTCGGCACGCGCCGTCCCCTGTGTCTTCCTTGGTTTCCCAGTGGACTCTGCTGACTGGTCCTTTTACCACCCTCCCCTCCACCAGTTCCTAGATTCCCGTGACGTCCGGTTTGACGAGTCCGTGTCCTACTACACCCGGTACCCCTGTCGAGGTCTCCCGGTACCCCCTCCCCCTCTCTTCCTCGCACCCTCTCCTCCTCCTGCTCCCGCTCCTCCGGTACCCCCGCCCCCCCCTGGTCCTGCCCCGTCTGGTGTGTCCCACGCTACCCCTCTCCCCTCGGTCGCGCGTCAGGTAGCGTCTCCCTCCCCGCAGTCCTCCTCACAGTCCCCTCAGCAGCCTTCGGCACTTCCGCGACAGGTTACTGTGGACTCGGTTGGTGTTGGAGCTGGAGGTGCAGCCGCTGGCGGTGCTCGGTCTGGGGGTGCTCGGTCGCGGGGTACTGGAGCTGGAGGTGCTGGCGCAGGTGACGCTGGTTCTGGGGGTGCTGGAGTTGGGGGTGCTGGCACTAGCGGTGCTAGTTCTGGGGGTGCTGGAGTTGGAGGTCCTGGCACTGGCGGTACTGGTTCTGGGGGTGCTGAGTCTGAGGAGACTGACGCTGGAGACCCTGGTTCTGCGGAGTCCACTCCGCCCCCCCACCGCCACGACACGCGTCTCCAGGCTGCCCGTCGGCGTGAGCGTGAGGAGCAGGAGCGGTTGGAGAGGGAGCGGCAGGAGCTGCGGGTGCTGGACCTTCTGGAGCAGCAGCGGCAGCAGCAGCAGCAGCAGCAGCAGCAGCAGCAGCAGCAGCAGCAGCAGCAGCAGCAGCAGCAGCAGCAGCAGCAGCAGCAGCCGCAGCCGCAGCCGCAGCCGCAGCAGCAGCAGCAGCCGCAGCCGCAGCCGCAGCCGCAGCGGCCGCAGCCGCCACCGCAGCTTCCTCTAGAGCGGCGGTTGTTCCCAACTGTGAGTGGCCTGCGGGCCCTTGGCCTTTCCTCCTCTCCTCCTGTCCGCTCCCAGTCTCCTCCTGTGTTTGTTCCTCCGTTGCCTCCTCCTGACGACCGTCCGGCGGTCTGGTTTTCTCCTCCTCCTCAGTCTCCTCCTCCCTCTGTCCGTCGCGACTTGATCACTCGTTGTCCTCCGCGTGCTCGTCACTCGTCCCCTGTTACTGACCTCCACACTGCCCTCCTTTGTTCGTCTCGTCGTCGTTCTCCTTCTCCTGTGTCCGTTCTCCCGTCTCCTCCTCCGTCCTCTCTACCTGCCCTCCCCACTCCTATCTCTGACTACTACCGCGCTGTTCGTCCTGTTGCCGCTCGTGTCCTCACCACTCTTGTCACCGACCCTCGTTTCCCTCCGTCGTCTGTCTCGGCTCTCACTGCCGCTGTCGCTGAGTTTGCTGCCGCCAGCCGCCTTGACTACGCCATCCGTGTGGTGCCAGCTCCTCCCTACCGTCCTCTGTCCGTCGGGGGTGGGTTTGCCCTTGGCTGTGACGTCCTAGAGGACAGAGAGTCTGAGCTGGAGTACTGGGCAGCCGCTTCTCCCTCTGTGTGTGCCATGCTGCTCTCCCCTGAGGGAGACCCCGACGCCCTTGACATACCGACTCCTCGCACTTACCGCGAGGCAGTGTCAGGGGCGTGGGCCTCTCAGTGGAAAGCGGCTATGGACTCAGAGTTGGCGTCTTGGAGATCCACAGGCACCTACGTCGACGCAGTTCCCCCTCCCAGGGCGAACGTAGTCGATGGCATGTGGCTCTTCAAGGTGAAGCGGCCGCCTGGAGCACCGCCGATGTTCAAGGCGCGCTACGTGGCTAGGGGTTTCAGTCAGCGTGAGGGAGTTGACTTCTTCCAGACCTTCGCCCCGACCCCGAAGATGACTACTCTTCGGGTGTTACTCCACATAGCAGCGCAGCGAGACTACGAGCTGCACTCCCTCGACTTCTCCACTGCGTTCCTCCAGGGCCGACTGCACGAGGAGATCTGGCTGCGCCGTCCTCCTGGCTTCACTGACACCTTCCCACCTGGGACCCAGTGGAGCCTGAGGCGACCAGTCTACGGTCTCCGCCAGTCGCCCCGTGATTGGCACGACACTCTTCACTCCACGCTTCGTGACCTTGGGTTCAGCCCGTCCTCCGCCGACCCGTCGCTGTTTGTTCGAGCGGGTTCTACTCCTTTCTTTATCCTTGTCTACGTCGACGACTTGGTGTTTGCTACAGCAGACAGGGCAGCCCTGGCTCAGGTGAAGTCCGAACTGCAGAAGAGACACAAGTGCACTGACCTGGGTGAGCTGCAGCGCTACCTTGGCCTGCAGATCACCCGGGACAGAGCCGCTCGCACCATCACACTGACGCAGTCACACATGGTGCAGCAGGTCCTTCGGCGGTTCCACTTCCAGTTCTCCACCACACAACCCACTCCTCTTGCTGTTGACCACAGACTCACGGGCCCCTTTTCTGACGAGCCCTTTGAGTCCAGTGGACCCTACGCAGAGCTGGTGGGCTGCCTCATGTACCTGATGACTTGTACTCGACCGGACCTCTCCTTTCCACTCAGCATCCTTTCTCGCTTTGTTGCGACTGGGAGACACCGCCCTGTCCACTGGACAGCTGCTGTGAGGGTGGCGAAGTACCTGGCGACTACATCAGGCTTGGGGCTTGTGCTTGGAGGGACTCAGCCAGTGGCGTTGACTGGTCACTGCGACTCTTCCTACGCTGACGACGTGGAGACTCAACGTTCGACTCAGGGTTACTGCTTCAGTCTGGGAGCTGGTGCTGTGTCGTGGAGGTCTACACGGTCGTCGTCTGTGGCTACTTCCAGTGCAGAGGCAGAGATCTACGCTGGTGCCATGGCGGCACAGGAGCTTCGCTGGTTGACCTTCTTGCTCGCTGACCTTGGTGAGCGGCCTCGCTCTGCACCGACCTTGTACGCTGACAACAAGGCCATGATCCTCCTGTGTCGAGAGCCTCGACTGGAGAGCAGAGTGAAGCATATTGACGTGAGGTACTTCCTCCTGCGAGAGCTGCAGCGACGCGGTCAGGCACGCCTGGACTTTGTGGCCTCAGAGGCCAACACTGCAGACGTCTTCACCAAGGCCTTGGCGCTTGGTGACCACCACAGGTTCTGTGTGCAGTTGGGGCTTGTTGAGGTAGGCCCTCGGTTGGTGTAGTCCTGTTGCTTGCTCTGCTTGTTGTGCTTTGTATTTATATCCTAGTGAACTCTTGAACTGGCCTTGTGGCCGCTTGCTTGCGCTCGGAATTTGTGTGGTGTCCTTGAGATCCACCCTGAGCTTGCCTTGGTTCTTGCTTTGACTGGTCTTGTGACCGTTTGTTCACCTTGCTTGCTTTGATGCCCCTCACTTAGCCTATGGGGGTGTGTCAAATGTTGAACATTGATATGATAGGCTATAGTGAGTTGCACTCTAGGGGGTACAGCTTCTAGGGTTTCTCATTTGTACCCCATTCGTTTCTATTCCAATCATTCCGTTGTTCGCTAACTTTGAGACTTAGGTACACTTATCTATCAGATATCAATATGTTATTTAGGGTGTTAGACTCAATATGTGGCGCGGGAGGGGTCTTATATTTGTAACGAGCCCCCTCGTGTACAGACATTGCGCGAGTCTGACACAAACTGCGTGAGAGAATTCGATTCTGACACAAACAGCGTGTCAGAATTCGAATTTGCTTCTGTAAAAGATGACTCGCAATAGCACTTACGAGACAAGCAATAAGGGGTCTTACAGCGATTAGGGGCAAAAGGGGCTCCTCACAAAACGTCCCAAAAATAAAAGTTCCACTACCCAATGGTGACATGATGTATGTGGTTGACCGGATCAAACACCAGATACCTGAACAAAAAAGTGCTTTAGGACCCAGCACCAGGATTCCTTATCATATACGGTAGTTTACAAATGTTCACCTGTTCATGTTATACACACAGCCTCAAGCCCTCAGTTACAATATCAAGAACAGGAATACTGAAGCCTACTGTCAAAAGAAACAGTAGATGAAAGTACCAAACTCACGCATGAACCACAGCAGCAGCCACTTCTCCCCCCTCGCATCACACAACATGCCTCTCTCCATCCTGCCCCCCCCCCTCCCCAACCCCCTCCTTGCCTAATCCTCCTCATCCATCACCCCCCCTTCCACATTCAGACTGAACTCATACTCCTGATCGCACCCTAAGTACGAATCGCACATGAAATACAGCATCAGATCCTTCTTCCCCTCCCCACTGCCCCCGCCCTTCTCCCCTTCTCCTCCAGGCGCTGCGAATTCAAGCTTAACCTTTGCCTTTCGCTGGAGCGCCGTTCGCTTAATGGCCAATAGCTGATTGGTCTTTGGGTCCCCAACCACGAGCCACCAACCCTCGTCCTTAGGCTTGGGAAAGCGCGGCGCGTCCACCGGACCTAGCTCCTGTCCAGGCTCGATGTCCCTCTCGAGAGTCACCTGGTGGGAAGCGGTTGGAAGAGGTGGAAAGTGGTGAGCAGGAGGTTGCAAAAGGTGCGCAATACGATTGTTGAGTGGACTAATAAGCCAGACCTAGCTCCTGCCTAGGATTGATATCCCTCTCAAGAGTCACCGGAGGGATGAAAGGCGGGCTGAAAGGGTTAGCACAAAAAAGGTAGAAAGTATAGGGAGGTGTGCAAGTATAGAGATTGCCACCCCAGCCCAACCCCCCCTCCTCCCTCAACCCCCTTTTCCTGTTTCCACTTCCCTTCCCCAACTCCTGACCCCCGGATCTCCTCCTACCTGCATCACCACGTTCTCCCCTGCCGCCACATCCTGGCCGTTGATCAGGTCGTAGTTGAGATCGATGGACGGGAAGCGATTGCACACGCGCGCCACGTCAGACAGCTGCTCCTCAGACATGCCGAGCGCCGCCGCCCGCTCGTCGTCGTCCATATCCACGAGATCGGATACGGATTCGATTCCCTTTGCTGTAAATTTGGCAGCTAGCTCCTTGGTGAAGTGCGGCAGCTGCAGCAGCGGGGAGTCCTTCTCCCATAGGCCCTGAAGGGGGGAAGGAGAGAGGGGAAGGCAAAATGGGGGGTGGGGATGTTGTGAGTGAGGGGAATGGAGGGTTCAGATAGGCGTACAGCAATGAACAGCTGGCAGCTAGCTCCTTGGTGAAGTGTGACAGCTGCAGCACCTGCAGAATCCTTTTCCCACAGAACCTGAAGGACGGAGTGGAGAAGGAAAAGTCTTCAGTGGGGTTAGGGGTGGTTAAAGGAGAGTGGGGAATCACACAGGAAGAATTCAACAAGACACACACAAGAGAGAGAGGGAAGAGAAGAGCAACGATCACCACAAGTTCACAACACACCTTCTACATTGGACACTTTGTTCGATACAAAACAAGGTGTTCGATACATTGGACACTTTGTTCGATACATTGGACACTCGAATGACCAACACTTTTGAAGTCGGCACTGAAATTTAAAAGATGCGGAATAATGTGAAAGGTGTTCTGGGAAATGAGGAAGCCAGAGTGGTGAGAAAGAACAGGTAAGCTGCTAAGAGATGACTGAGGGATATCCATACTTGCCTAAGTATAGAGTGTGCTAGGTTAATGATGTGCCTCAGATACTCGAGCTCCTGAAGGAGGTTTTAGCCCATCAACATTCACAGGTCCATGCATCAGCCTAGTAGTGAGCCAAAACTTCCTTCAGAGGCTCGAGCCTCTGAAACACATCGTCAACCCAATATACCCTAGATTTAATTTTCTCACTAATATGGATATCCTTCAGCTATCTCTTAACAACTTCTCTGTTCACCCTCACCGCTCTGACCTCCTCATCCCACAAAACACTTCTCACATTATCCCGCATCATTTAACTTAATCTTGACCTTAAACTCTCCATCCTTTTTGCAAAATACCACTCACTCGCTTCTCCCTGCTCGTCCTGCTTCTGCTGCTGCTCCGGCTTCTCCCTACCGCCTCAACACCCATCTCACCTGCGTGACCATCTGGCTGAGCTCCATGGCGGCGAGAGCAGGGGAGAGCCAGCCGGAGGAGGAGAGCACGTCCACCATGGCCTGCAGCAACCTGGAAGCTTCCATGAGCACCGCGCGCTGGTCCTGCGCCAGAGGGCCTGTCACAATGTGGCGGGCAAAGTGCGCCTGGTGGGGGGTGAGAGGGTGGAGAGAAGGCGGAGGGGAGGGTGGTTGAGGTTGAGGGTTTAAAGTAGAAGGTGGGCGGGCAAGAGAAAAGAGACAAACAGAGAAAAGAGACAAACAGAGAAAAGAGACAAACAGAGAAAAGAGACAAACAGAGAAAAGAGACAAACAGAGAAAAGAGACAAACAGAGAAAAGAGACAAACAGAGAAAAGAGACAAACAGAGAAAAGAGACAAACAGAGAAAAGAGACACACCGCCCACCACCCACCCAACACCCACCCACCACCCACCCACCACCCACCCACCACCCACCCACCACCCCCCACCCCCGAACCACCCACCTCCCACCCGCCACCCGCCTCCGGCCACCCACCATTCACCCCCCACCTCCCACCACCCACTCCCACCTCCCACCTCCCTCCACCCACCACCCACCCACCACCCACCCACCCACCCACCCACCCACCTGCAGCAGCACGTTCGCCTTAAGGTGAGGGTCCGACAGGTTGGGCTTCTCCACCCCAAAGCGCTGGTGGTGCAGCATCTTGCGCACCTGCTCCTCCTCGCCCGGCCGCATGGGCAGCTCGCCATACTCGCTCGCACTCGCCACCACCTCTATCAGCCCCTTGAGCCTCGTCTTGGGCCCCAGCGACCCCGAAAACGCCTCGATCGTGGTGTAGGAGATGTAATAATAAGCCGCAATCATCCCCAGATTCAGCGGGGATAAGTCCATGTCATCTTCGATCGCGACGCACTTGGACGCTTCGAGATCGGAGAGCGTGGTTTCGACGAGCTCGGAGAGGTGGTCGCTGAGGTGGCGGTGGGAGGTGCCGGTGAGGTTGTAGTAATTGGGGTTCTGGGTGAGGCGGCGGTACAGGAAGGACCAGGTGAGGTAGTCAACGGCATCTTGCTTGTTCTCGACAGTTCGAACGACCACTTCAGCGTTGAGAGGGTCGTGAAGATGCTGGTCCAGATGGGATTCGACTGGGAGCGGTTCCAGCAGGAACTTCTTGTAATACTCCTTGCGCGCCGAGTGGCAGAAGATCACACACCTGCCGGCGTCGTCCAGGCCTGAAAAATGGAGGTGGGAAAAATGGAGGTGGGAAAAATGGAGGTGGGAAAAAGGAGGTGGGAAAAATGGAGGTGGGAAAAATGGAGGTGGGAAAAATGGAGGTGGGCAAAATGGAGGTGGGAAAAATGGACGGTGAGAAAGGAAGGCGTGGGGGAAGGGCACAGGGAAGATGTGAGTGGAGTTTGGAAATGACTTGAATGACCTGGAATGAATTGACTTGAAATGGTTGACTTGAAATGGTTGAAGCAATAACTTGAAGGGCTTCACTGCGAGGCCTTACCCCAATCGCAATACCTGCAATACCAAGAGCTGCATAGATCACACCACCACCCCCCACTCACCAGGCCTCGAGGCTCGCCCCATCATCTGCAGTAAGTCAGTCACCGGGTATTCCACCCTGCCGCCCCCGCTGCCCAGGCCTTACCCAAATCTCACTGGCCGTATACACCGCACTGCACCACTCACCAGGCCGGGAAGCTCGTCGAATCATCTGCAGCAGGTCAGTCACCGGATAGTCCACCCTGCCATCACCGCTGTATACACCACACCATCACTCTGCACCGCACTGCACCACATCACCCACTCACCAGGCCTGGAGGCTCGCCCCATCATCTGCAGCAGATCAGTGACTGGATAGTCCACCCTGCCGCCCCCGCTGCCACCCGCGACGGCAGATGCGCCTCCCCCGGACCCGCCTCCCCCTCCCCTGGCGTCATAGTACTGTGTGCCCATGATGACCACGAGGTTGGCGGGGAATATGGACCAGCAGAGGGAGCTCACAGCCACACAGACCTGCAGGGGAAGGGGGGAAGGAAAGATAGGGGGAAGGGAAAGAAGGGGGCAGGGGGCACAAGGCATGAGACAAGGCGTCGTAGTACTGAGTGCCCATGATGATCACCAGTTTGGCCGGGAAGTTTGACTAGCACAGGGAGCTGACCGCCACACAGACCTGTAGGAGAGGGAAGTGAAGTACAAAGAGCAGCCTCCCCCAGACCCGCCTCCCCCTCCCCTGGCGTCGAAATACTGCGTGCCCATGATGACCACAAGGTTGGCTGGGAAGTTTGACCAGCACAGGGAGCTCACTGCCACGCACACCTGCAGGATGCAAGGGAGGGAAGGAAGAAAGAAAGCACAAGGCAAAGGGTGGAACAGGAAAAGGGCAGAGGGAAGGAAAGGACCCACCTGGATAGCCCCAGCGGTGAAGAGCTGCCGCACCACCTCCTGCTCCACCGCACTCAACCCCTCGTGCAGATACGCCACTCCAAACGTCAGCCCGTGCCGCAGCCCCTCGTCCTTCACGCGCGCCAGAAACGGCGCCAAGTCCCCCTCCCCACAGTGCAGAAACGGGGAAGCCGCCGCCAGAGCTGCAGCAGAGGTCGTCCCATCGGCGTTCCCAGCAGCACCGGAGGTCCCGTCCGCGTTGGCGGCCGCGGCGAGAGTGGCCCCGGCGTCGCCGGCAGCGAAAGCGCAGAGGTCGAGAGCGGTGAGGCGCGCGTGCTTGCGGGTGGGGACGAAGACGAGCGCGGGCTTGCTGGAGCGAGCGGTGTGGTTCATTATGGCCGTGTAGGCCGGCTTGGTCATGGCCTGGTGGGAGGGAGTGGTGTGGGGGGTTAGGGGGTGAGGAAGGGGCATACAGAGGAGGTGAGTTGCTAAACCAGCAGCCCCATCACCGCCACCACCACCAGCAGCAGCACCAGCAGTGGCACCGGCGTCGCCGGCAGCGAAAGCGCAGAGGTCGAGAGCGGTGAGGCGCGCGTGCTTGCGGGTGGGCACGAAGACGAGCGCGGGCTTGCTGGAGCGAGCTGTGTGGTTCATTATGGCCGTGTAGGCCGGCTTGGTCATGGCCTGGTGGGAGGGAGGGGTTTGGGAGAACGTCTAAGAGAAGTGGGCAAACTCCTTGCTGGAGCGAACCGTGTGGTTCATTATGGCCGGCTTGGTCATGGCCTCAGGGGAGGGCAACGGAGGGGGGGAGGAAGGTTGGGGTTGCGGGTGTGGGGGGTGGGCGGGGTGTGGTTTGGAAGAGGGATGCAAGGAAGGTTGGAAAGGAGTGGGGCAATAGGTGCTTCTTGCTGGAACAAGCTGTGGTTTTGGAGACGTCTCAAAAACACCCTCCTTTCACGGGCAATACGTACTTCTTGCTGGAGCGAGCTGTGTGGTTCAGGGGCACCGGCCGCACACACAAGCACCCCCTTGCACGCACACTTGCACTTCCACGCCCTCCACACCCTCCCACCCACTCGCCCCTCCCACAGCCGCCCACCCACACCCACCCTCTCCGTCCCCCCCCCCACCCACTCACCTGCATGCGCGCATCGAAGTTGGAGACGTCAAACCCCTGAATGTGGATCTCGAGGGGCACCGGCACACCCACACTAACACACAGTGACACACAGTGACACACAGTGACACACAGTGACACACACCATACACCCACCCATCCCCACCCATCCACACCCATGATCACCACTCCCACTCACCTGCATGCGCGCATCGAAGTTGGAGACGTCAAACCCCTGAATGTGAATTTCCAGGGGCACGGGGCGCACAGCGGGGGAGAAGTTGAAGAGCCCGTGGGAGCTCGCCCCCACCCACTCGCCCAGATCCCGCGCATTCGCCAGCGACGCCGCCAGCGCCACGATGCGGATCCTGTGCCCCCCTGCCGCCTGCTGGCTGTTGGCCCCTCCGGACGCCCCCAGCCCGCCCCCTGCCGCTGCGGATGCTGCGGATTGGGAGCTTATGTAGCGCATGCGGGAGGTGATGACTTCTAGAATAGAGCCGTTGTGACCCCCGATGAGATGAAGCTCGTCCACTATGAACAGGTCCACCTGTGGAGGGGGGATAGGGGAGAGAGCAGGGCCAGTCAACACCCAATCATGGAGAGGTGGACTGAGAGCTGATGAAGCGCATGCACGAGGTGATGACTTTGAACATGGAGCCGTTGTGGCCTCCGATCAGATGCAATTCGTCCAATATAAAAAGGTACACCTGTGGAGCGGAGAGGGAGGGTGTACATAGAAGAGACAAGAGAACGAGGAAGAGGAGGAGGTGGGTGGGACTGTGAGTGAGTTGATGCAGCACATGCGGGAGGTGATGACTTCAAGAATGGAGCCGTTGTGACCGCCAATGAGATGCAGCTCAGCTGGTCCCACTGCTCCGGTGTGCTCACAACAATATTACTCCTCTCCAGCACACAGCACCCACCTAGTGATCCAACCAATCACATCAGCCCCTCACCTGCTGCACGGCCAGCCTCTGCTTCCACCGGCGGCTCAGCTGGTCCCACCGTTCCGGTGTGCTCACGGCAATGTTGCTCCTCTCAAGACGACCTTACCTAGTGATCAGAGGTGACATGCCAGCACACACGGAAATATCCTTCACGCGCTCTCACCTGCTGCACGGCCCACCTCTGCTTCCACCGCTGGCTCAGCTGGATCCACCACTGCTCCGGCGTGCTCACAACAATATTGCCCCCCCATAGCAAACCATGCTGTACCCGTTGACCAGGGCACACATGCCGACACCTACCAAAAACACCTCTCACGGCCTCACCTGCTGCACGGCTCACCTCTGCTTCCACCTTCGGCTCAGCTGGTCCCACCGCTCCGGGTCAACAGTAGTACTCCTCTCTAACTAGCCTTAACTAGTGATCAGAGTAACCATGCCAGCACGTGCGGAAACACCCCTCACACAGTCTCACCTGCTGCACGGCTCGCCTCTGCTTCCACTGCCTACTCAGCTGGTCCCCTCTCAAGTGTGCTCACAACAATGTTGCTCCTCTCCACCACACAGCACCGACCTAGTGATCCAACCAACGCATCAACCCCTCACCTGCTGCACGGCGCGCCTCTGCTTCCACCGTCGGCTCAGCTGGTCCCATCGCTCTGGTGATGGGAGCGATCACACAGAACCTACCTGGTAATCCAGCCAAACACACCAACTCCTCACCTGTTGAACAGCCCGCCTCTGCTTCCACCGTCGGCTAAGCTGGTCCCATCGCTCGGGCGTGCTCACAACAATGTTGCTCCTCTCTAGAAGCTTCAAATCCGTCCCGCTCTCCCCCGTAAGCTCCCCAACCTTAACCTTCCCCCCTCCGCCCAGCATCTTCCCGAACCTCTCCCCCCACTCCTTCGCCCTCTCCTTCACAATCGCTTCCACTGGAGCCACGTACACGCACCGCCCGCCGTACGAAATTTCGTCCGGGCTGCCCGAGTTTCCGCCAGAGGCTTTTGCCTGCAGCATGCGGAGGATTGCAAATTCCGCGCAGATTGTTTTCCCGCTGCCCGTGGGCGCGGCCAGCAGGACGTTGTCGTCGGTGTTGTATAGAACCGTAAACACCTGCGTCTGAATGGGGTTAAAGTGCGAAATGCCCCGCCGGACCGTCCCCGAACCAGCCCCGCCGGAAGGGTCGGTGGAAACCAGGCCTGCCGCTGCTTCTCCAGCGTACAGCGCCTCGAACGCCGCGTTACGTAACGCGGTAACCGGCAGCGGCTGCAGGTCCAGCAGCTCGGTGGGCGGCGGGAACTTCTCGGGCAGAATAAGGTGGCGGAAGCTCACGGGCAGCACGGTCTGCGCGCCGATCCAACGGTCCGAAACGACCTTCACAAAATACTGCGGCGGCAGCGGCTCAAAGATCGGGACCGTGAACGAGAGGTAGTGATCCTCTTGCGCGTACTGCATCTTGAGAAGGAATAGCTCGTGGTGTAGGATGGTGTCTCCGTCGTGATCCTCGACGATGACCCAGAGGGGCTCCACGAAGCCGTGCAGCTTCTCCTCCCACTGGAAGTCGGGCGTTATGGTGACATCCACCCGTAGAACCGAGCGCGTCATGGGAAGGACTTGCGCTGCCAGCTCGAGACGAGGGAACTGAAGAGCGGGGAGGGGGGTAGGGGAGAGCAAAGAGAGGGAGCATGGAGAGGAGAGAGTGGAAGTCGGGCGTTATGGTGAGATCCACTCGCAGCACTATTTGAAGAGTGTTATGGGGAGGACTTGGGCTGCCAGGCGAGGGAAGTGGGGGGGGGGGGGGGTGGGTGGTGGGGGAGGGGGGAGGGGAGAGATAATTTGAAGAGAAGGGGCGGGAACACAGCGGTAAGGTGTGGGGGGGGAAGGAAGAGAGAAGTAGTCGGGCGTTATGGTGAGATCGACACCATTCACAAGAACATTCTCCATCTCACTATAACAGCCTTCACTATAACAGCTTTCACTACAAAAAAGCCATCCTCACCTAATTGCACCAGCTCGTAGAGTGTACCTACTAAACCATACACTCCCATACTCGCTATAACAGTCTTCACTACCAGCCAGCCAGTCTCACCTGGTGCACCAGCTTGTGCAGAGTCTTGCCGAGCTTCGGCATGCGAACCAGCTCCCCAAGCTCCTGCGAAAAGGAACAGGAATGGGGAGAGCGGAGAGATATGAGAAGAGCAAGGCAAAAGAGGGTGCAAGAGAGAAACATGGATTGTTCAGGCGCCTCAAATAAAATCTCGAGGGCCAGGTTGTGCAGAGTCTTGCCGAGCTTCGGCATGCGAACCAACTCCCCGAGTTCCTGCCAGAGAGAAATGAGAGAAGGCAGGGGAAGGGAGGGAGAGGAGAGAAGAGAGAAGAGCGATGCAGAAGAGAGTAAGAAACAAGTGGTTTCTCTGAGCTTCGGCATGCGAACTCCCCGAGTTCCTGCCAGAGAGACATGACATGAGAGAACGGATTGGGAAGGAGGAGGAGGAGGAGGAGGAGGAGGAGGAGGAGGAGGAGGAGGAGGAGGAGGAGGAGGAGGAGGAGGAGGAGGAGGAGGAGGAGGAGGAGAGGAGGAGGAGGAGGAAAGAGGAGAAGAGCAAGGCGGAAGGCGGTGAAGAACAGAACAGGTGTGTGAGGCGCTTTTACGCGCCTCACACAGGTCCTGGGTTTGCTTTTGAGTCGACTCAAAAGCAAGGCGGAAGGCGGTGAAAAACAGGTGGTTCTTTTACGCGCCTCACACAGGTCCTAGGACCTCCCAGTAATGCCAGCCCAGTAACGAACACGAACGAAGAGAATCAAAGGTCATGCTCTGGCATTCAAAATCGGGCAGCAGCAGGAGAACGGAAGTGAGAGGAGTTGGAGGAGGGGAGGCGGGAAGGAGGGAGACCAAGGGGACAAAGAAGAAGAGCAGAGGATTGACAAGGAGGAGCGAAAAGAGTGAAGGTAGGATAGCACCTTTGAGAGCTACTCCCACCACTTCCCACCTCGCCCCACCACTTCCTTCCGACCCCTTCCCACCTGGGACGAGAGGTCGTAGTGTCGCACCCACACCAGGTCCTTCCTCTCGAGCTTGGCGATGATCTCAAGCGGCACTAGGGGAGTGGAGAACACACTTCTGCATTTCAGCGCAGCAACAACACAGCACCGCTCCCCATCCCACCGCACCCCACCACTTCCCACCTCGCCCCACCACTTCCCAACCCGCCCACCTGGGACGAGAGGTCGTAGTATCGCTCCCACACGAGGTCCTTCCTTTCCAGCTTGGCAATGATCTCAAGAGGCACTCCCTTGAACTGCCGCAGGGGCGACTGGGCAGCCCACATGCGGCGAGACACCATCTTGCAGAGGTTGAGTGCTCGCTCTGCTAAGCGCGCCCACCCCCTCCTTAGGATGATCTCGAATAGAGCTCTCATCAGCCGACCGGCGGACTGGTGAAGTGACAAGGGGGGGTGGGGAGATGGAAGGAGAGGAGAGAGGGGGACAGGACAGGCAAGGAAGAGAGGGAGGGAGGGGTTGGAACACGATCGTGCACGAGCGAGCTTGGCGATGATTTCAAGAGGCACTCCCTTGAACTGCCTCAGAGGCGACTGCGCTGCCCACATGCGGCGAGACACCATCTTGCAGAGGTTGAGTGCCCGCTCTGCCAGGCGCGCCCACCATCAGCTAACTAGACCATCAGACTGACCACCACTGCTCATCAGACTGTTCGATTCAGATTTCGCTGAGCAATACGAATTGTTTTACATTCGTGAAACTTGTTCAGCTAAGCATTTACTGCATCTTACCTGAGTGACGTAGACCATGTCAGAAACGAGTGAAAGCCCGTCCAGCTGCAGCTGGCTGATGTATGCCTGGCGAGGAGGGAGGAGGAGGAGGGGGACGAGGGAGGCAGAGACAGGCAGAAGAGGAAAGGGATTTGAAGTGAGTTGAGTCGATTCCAAGATAGGGCTCCTGAGTGACGTAGACCATGACAGAACAGAAACACGGGAGAGCCCGTCCAGCTGCAACTGGCGGATGTATGCCTGGCGAGGAGCGGAGGTGGAGTGGAGGGATGGGAGGAGGGGTACGGGCAGAGACAGGCAAAAGCAGAGTGGATTTACGAGAGTGTGACTGGAAAGAGAAGAGAAGGGAGACGAGTGAGAGCCCGTTCAGCTGCAGCTGACTGATGTACGCCTGGAAAGGGGGAGGGGAGGAGAGGAGGGGAATGGGGGGCAGACGAGGCAATTTCAGGGATGCATCTGCAAGGGAAGGGAGACGAGGGAGGGCCCGTCTAGCTGCAGTTGACTGATGTACGCTTGGAGAGGGGGATGAGAGAGTTAGAGAAGAACCCCAAACCCGAAACCCAAACAGCCTCAAACCCAAAACTCCAGCAACCCACCCACCTGCAGCAGCACGTTGATCTTGGCGCTGGGCTCCTCGATGCCCTCCTTCACGGGGATGGGCACTCGCTCCAGCAGCAGAGAGAGAAAGAGGAGAGCGGGGAGCGAAGACCCCCAAACCCAAACCCCGAACCCCGAAACCCGAACATGGAGCACCTCACCTGCAGCTGCACGTTGATTTTAGCACTGGGCTCCTCGATGCCCTCCTTCACGGGGATGGGCACTCGCTCCAGCAGCAGAGAGAGAGGAGAGAAGGGGAAAGAAGAACCCCTAACCCTAAACCCCAAACCCGAGCAACCCTCCCACCTGCAGTAGCACGTTGATCTTGGCGCTGGGCTCTTCAATGCCCTCCTTCACGGGGATGGGCACTCGCTCCAGCAGCAGAGAGCGAGGAGAGAAGGGGAAAGAAGAACCCCTAACCCTAAACCCCAAACCCGAGCAACCCTCCCACCTGCAGCAGCACGTTGATCTTGGCGCTGGGCTCTTCAATGCCCTCCTTCACGGGGATGGGCACTCGCTCCAGCAGCAGAGAGCGAGGAGAGAAGGGGAAAGAAGAACCCCTAACCCTAAACCCCAAACCCCAAACCCCAAACCCGAGCAACCCACCCACCTGCAGCAACACATTAATCTTGGCGCTGGGCTCCTCGATGCCCTCCTTCACAGGGATGGGCACTCGCTCCAGCAGCTTGGCGAGCTCCAGCTTCTCCTCCTCGCGCACGCCCACGTACTTGAACTCCTCCGACAGGGAGAAGAGGCGGCACAGGTCGATGTCGCCCATCGTGGGCTTTAAGTGCTCGTTGTACGTCGCGATGGTGCCGTGGGAGATGTAGTAGAAGGAGGCTATGCGCCCCAGATCAGTCACCTGGAGAGGGGGAGAAGAAACCAGAGGGAGGAGAATGGGAAGGGGAGTGGGGGGGAAGGGGGGTGCTGCTCGTTGTACGTCGCGATGGTGCCGTGCGAGATGTAGTAGAAGGAGGCAATTCGGCCCAGATCGGTCACCTGTTGGGGAAGCAGAAGGGGAAGAAGGCGGAGTGGAGGGAGAGGAGGGCGGGACAGAGTGCCAATATCCCCCAGGGTGGGTTTTAAGTGGCGATGGTGCTGTGCGAGATGTAGTAGAACGAGGCTATGCGCCCCAGATCAACCACCTGGAGGGGTAGCAGAGGGAGAGAAAGGGCAAGGGAGAGCGAGGAGAGGGGAAGAGTAGGTGCTCGCTACTCTTCCCCTCTCCTCGTTGTACGTTGCAATGGTGCCGTGGGAGATGTAGTAGAAGGAAGCTACGCGGCCCAGGGAGGTTACTAGTTGCGGGTTTAAGATGGTGAAGTGCGGGGACCGAGTGGGAAGGTCAATGTCGCCCAGGAGGCAAAGGTGCCGTGCAAGATGTTGTTAAAGGAAGCTATGCGATCCAGATCGGTCAAGTGGGGGGGGAAGTGGAGAAGCGGAGAAGCGGAGAAGGAAAGGACAAGGAACGCGCAACGAGAAGGAACGACGAGACGAATGGAAAGCGCGAGTGGGTGGGGTTTCACGCAACTCGGGACAACAGAGAACTATGTGTGACAACACGAAAATTTTACAGAAATTCGAAGCTTGAATCGCCCAAGAGAACACCCGTAGAAGCAGCAAAGCCTAGACTCACCTGCAGTATTCCCTGACTTGCAATCGTACTTGATAAGGTTGTGTCGACCCAGTAATCACCTGAGAAATCACCTGAGGAAGTAGCTGGGCTCACCTGGAAGACGCCCGACTTGCGGTCGTACTTCATAAGGTTGTTACGATCCAGCTGCACCGCTGCTGAGTGGATCTGTGAAGAGTGAGCATATGAGAGAGAACAGGGGAGCCGGGTGGGGGGTTGCAGAGGCAATAGGTGAGGAGAGGGAGGGAAGGAGAAGCTGCTGCTGTGAACGTGCTTCATAAGGCTGTTACAATCCAGCTGCACTGCTGCCGAGTGATTCGGGTATAAGAGAGCATATGAGATGAGGTGACTTTTGAGTCGACTCAAAAGTCAGCCGGGTATAAGAGAGCATATGAGATGAGGTGACTTTTGAGTCGACTCAAAAGTCAGCCGGGTATAAGAGAGCATATGAGATGAGGTGACTTTTGAGTCGACTCAAAAGTCAGCCGGGTATAAGAGAGCATATGAGATGAGGTGACTTTTGAGTCGACTCAAAAGTCAGCCGGGTATAAGAGAGCATATGAGATGAGGTGACTTTTGAGTCGACTCAAAAGTCAGCCGGGTATAAGAGAGCATATGAGATGAGGTGACTTTTGAGTCGACTCAAAAGTCAGCCGGGTATAAGAGAGCATATGAGATGAGGTGACTTTTGAGTCGACTCAAAAGTCAGCCGGGTATAAGAGAGCATATGAGATGAGGTGACTTTTGAGTCGACTCAAAAGTCAGCCGGGTATAAGAGAGCATATGAGATGAGGTGACTTTTGAGTCGACTCAAAAGTCAGCCGGGTATAAGAGAGCATATGAGATGAGGTGACTTCTGAGTCGACTCAAAAGTCAGCCGGGTATAAGAGAGCATATGAGATGCCTGCCTCTCTTCCAGTACGGGGTCCCTCTCAGCCTCCTCTGCCAATATGCCGTACAGAGGGGGGTTGTGCATGCATGCACCCCTTTCACTAGTACTAACACTAACACTAGCAGCACAAGCACTACAGACACTCACCAGGTCTGCCTGCCTCTCTTCCGGCACGGGGTCTCTCCCAACCTCCTCTGCTGATAATTCGTACCGAGGGGGTCTTGCATGCACCACTTTCACTAGTAGCACCACAATGGCCATACCCACTCAACTACTAGCACTCCACAATCACTGATTGCCTCTCTTCCAGCACGGGGTCCCTCTCAGCGTCATCAGGCGATATTCCGTACAGAGGGGGGTTGCGCAGCATACCATTTAACTGCTGACAACACTATAGGCACAACCACTACTGTCATCACTACAGACACACTACCACCGCAGCTGCCACTCACCAGGTCTGCTCGCCTCTCTTCCAGCACGGGGTCTCTCTCAGCCTCATCAGGTGAGAAACACAACCACTACCGTCACGACCGCTACTGACATCACTACTAGCACTCACCAGGTCTGCTCGCCTCTCTTCCAGCACGGGGTCTCTCTCAGCCTCATCAGGTGAGAAACACAACCACTACCGTCACGACCGCTACTGACATCACTACTAGCACTCACCAGGTCTGCTCGCCTCTCTTCCAGCACGGGGTCCCTCTCAGCATCATCAGGCGAGACGCTGTACAGAGGGGGGCTGAGAAGGCACCCCTGTCACTCCTGACAGCACTACTAACACTTTCACCACTGGCACTACCACAACTACGACCACCACCACAGCATCCACTCACCAGGTCTGCCCGCCTCTCCTCCATCACGGGGTCCCTCTCAGCGTCATCAGCCGATATGCCATAAAGTGGGGGGTTGCGCAGCATGCACCCCTTTCACACCTGGCAACACTCCTAGCACTACCACTAGCACCACCTTCTAACACTATTGCCACTCACCAGGTCTGCCCGCCTCTCCTCCAGCACGGGATCCCTTTCAGCATCGTCAGCCGAGATGCCATAAAGTGGCGGGTTGCGCAGCATGCGGATGTACAGGTACGTGTAGCCCAGCCACCTGCGGGAAGAAGGAAAAGGCGGGTGCGGGGGGGAAGGGGGGGGGGGAATTCACATAAAGGGGGGAAGGGGGGGAGGGAGGTTGCGCAGCATGCGGATGTACAGGTACGTGTAGCCCAGCCACCTTCGATTTGGGGGGAAGGGGAGAGGAGGGAGAGGGGAAGGATGAAAGTGAGTGACAGACATGGCAACAGGCCTTCTCAGCCTCGTCAGCAGATATGCCGTACAGAGGGGGGGTTGCGGAGCATGCGGATGTACAGCTACATTCACCCCATCCCCCCCGTCCCCCCTCACCTGCACGCCTCCCGTGCATTGCACACCGTGCCCAGTACCGCCTCCGCATTGAGACTGTCAGCCAGGCGCGACAGCAGCGGCAGGTTAAAATGCACCTCACTCACCCCATCCCCCCTGTCACCGCCCAGCCTCCCTCACCTACACGCATCCCGTGCGCTATGGGCCGTCCCCAGCACCGCCTCAGCGTGAGACAGGCTGCCAGCCAGGCAGGACAGCAGCTGCGACTCTATAGGAGCTGCTGGTTCAGGCAGAATTGAAGAGGAGGTCCTTTTGAGACGTCTCAAAAGCACGTGAAGCCCAGCGCGAGGAGGCCGTGGTGGGGCGGGAACCCGAGAGAGCAGAGGAGCTACGTCTTTCAGGTGTTACGACCTCCTCTGCTCTCTCAGGTTCCCGCCCCACCACGGCCTCCTCACGCTGGGCTTCACACGCTACGACCTCCCCTGCTCTCTCAGGTTCAGGCAGCGACAGGTGGAACTGAAGCAGGCCTGTCGAAGTTCCTGGGGCCAGCACTCTGAGTCCTGAGCTGCTCGAACTTTGGCCCTTATTTTCGCGAAGGTGATTGTTTTTTTGCCCTTAACGATCACGGGTGCAGGTCAAATTCGAAACTTGAAATCCGGGCTTCTTAAAAAAATGTACGTTTGACCTAATTTCGCAAATGCGGAAATATTACTTCGCAGCGTGAAGAACCTTGCTAACTACTGTCTGTAAACCTACAGCAGGGGGGGGGGGGGGGGAGAGGGGGGGGGGAGGGAAGGAGGGGGCTCGTAGGGCAAAACATTGTCAGCAAAGAAGTCGTTCGAATTCTTGTGTACATTTGCAAGCACTTCCGAGGAGGTTCGTTCTCATGTAGTACTACTAGTGTGAACCGATGGGGATGAGTCCCTCTTCGCCACGTAAGGGTGTCAGTGTCTCGAGTCCAGCGTGAGTACTTGTGAGGAGTGAAAGACTGTCTTAGAAATATTTTGCAACCACATCCATAAACATCAACACTAGGAAGTCCTTTCATACCAAGTAGATAGAATGTGGGAGTACCGAGATAATGAGTGCGGGAGGAGAAGAGTGGCAACTTAGGAAACTGGCAGGGTTACTTGTACTCCTGATCCGGGAATTCAGGGAAGGACCCCGAACCAGCCCTTAGGGGATCCGGATTGATACCCCAGATTCTCAAAATCAGCCCGTAAGAAAACGGGTTCCCCTCGAGACCAGCCCTTTGAAATGCCGAAGCTGGCCAGGAGTTCGCCCGGAATGTTCAGGGCATTAAGGGCAAATGCCCTTGAATCGACAGCCCTGAACTGAAGCTCACCTCCGACCTGGTAAACCCTAAACCCCCAACCCTGAACCAAACCTAAACCTTCAACTCATGCTGCCTCTGCCTCACCTGCATGCCTCCCTTGCGTTGTGCACTGTGCCCAGCACTGCCTCCGCGTTCAGGCTGTCCACCGGGCGGGACAGCAGCTGCGACTCTATGGGGAAGCTACTGGTTCAGCAGCTGACAGATAGAACTGCGGCCATCCCCAGACCAGTAAACCCTAAACCCGAACCCCCCTGCCCCTCCTCACCTGCATAACTCCCGTGCGTTGTGCACTGTGCCAAAAACAGCCTCCGCGTTCAGACTGTCAGCCAGGCGGGACAGCAGCTGTGACTCTATGGGGATCTGCTGGTTCAGCAGCGACAGGTGCAGCAGTAGCTCACCCACAGCCTGGTAAAACCCAAACCTTCAAACAACCCTGATTTCAACCTGAACTTTCAACTTGTGTTGCTCTCCTCACCTGCACGCCTCCCGTGCGTTGTGCACTGTTCCAAGCACTGCTCCGGCGTTCAGGCTGTCAGCCAGGCGAGAGAGAAGCTGTGACTCTATGGGGAGCTGCTGGCTCAGCAGCGACAGGTACAACAGCAGCTCACCCCCAGCCTGGTAAACACTAACCTCAGCACAGCCGACACAAAGTAAATCCTGACCCCTGAACCCGACCTAAACCATCAGGTTGTGTTGCTCTCCTCACCTGCACGCCTCCCTTGCGTTGTGCACTGTGCCCAGCACTGCCTCTGCATTCAGACTGTCCGCCAGGCGGGAGAGCAGCTGTGACTCTATGGGAGCTGCTGATTCAGCAGCGAGAGCCTACAAGTACCTCCTGCATGCTTCCCTTGCATTATGAACCGTTCCCAGCACAGCCTCCGCATTCAGACTGTCCGCCAGCCGAGAAAGAAGCTGTGACTCTATGGGGAGCTGCTGGTTCAGCAGCAAGAGGTAGAACTGCAGCTCAACCCTAACCCAGCAAAACCCCAAACCCTGAACCTCCCTGCCCCTCCTTACCTGCACGCCTCCCGTGCGTTGTGCACTGTGCCCAGCACGGCTTCAGCGTTCAGACTGTCAGCCAGGCGAGAGAGCAGCTGTGACTCTATGGGGAGCTGCTGGTTCAGCAGTGACAGGTAGAACTGCAGCTCGCCATGCCCCGTTATAATCACACCCTCTCCATACGTGTCATACTGCGGCCGCCCCGCTCGCCCCAGCATCTGCATGACGTCCAAGGGAGAGAGTTCCGTCCATGCGCCCTTCTCTGGGTTGTACACCTGAGAAGAGAGGGCAAGAGAAGAAAAGGAACAAGGGAGAAGAGAAAGAAAGGAGAAGCCAGATTACATGTGAATTGTGTGTCATACCGCGGTCGCCCTGCTCGCCCCAGCATCTGCATGACGTCTAAAGGAGAGAGCTCCGTCCGTGCGCCCTTCTCTGGGTTGTACACCTGAAGATGGAAGGACAAGAGAAAAACAATGAACAAGGGAAAAGAGAGGGCAGAATCTTGCACTGCGGTCGCCCCGCTCGCCCCAGCATCTGCATGACGTCCAAGGGGGAGAGCTCCGTCCATGCTCCCTTCTCTGGGTTGTACACCTGGGGTGGAAAAGGGAAGAGGAAATAGAGAGACGGACAAGAGAGAGAGGCAGAAGAGTGCAGAGAACCTGTGAGACTTGTGTGGCACTGCGGCCGCCCTGCTCGCCCCAGCATCTGCATGATGTCTAAAGGGGAGAGCGCGGTCCATGCGCCCTTCTCTGGGTTGTACACCTGAAGAGGGGAGGACAAGAGAGAAGCCACGGAAAAGAGACTGAAGACAGAGTGGCAGCTTTTGAGTCGACTCAAAAGTCACTGAGAGTGGCAGCTTTTGAGTCGACTCAAAAGTCACTGAGAGTGGCAGCAGCGAGCACAAGCGGGCCACTCTGGCCTAAAGGAGGGTGTGTGGACCGAGCACTCTCATCATTGTGTCTCACCACGTCTAGTGACTGAAACGCCACCCGTTTCCACCCATATCATTCCTGAGTGCCCTTGATAATGACTGTGTGGGTCGGGCGGCCGACACCCCATGCGAGAGTAGCAGTTGACACGAGCACCACCGCCAAGCACCTTTGCCAGCACTGCTGCTCTCTGGTGAGCAAGTCACACCAGCCACACTCCCCCCCAACGTTCTCGTACCTGAGTGCCCTTGATAATGACAGTGTGGGCCGGGAGGTTCACACCCCATGCGAGAGTAGCAGTTGACACGAGCACCACCGCCAAGCACCTTTGCCAGCACTGCTGCTCTCTGGTGAGCAAGTCACACCAGCCACACTCCCCCCCAACGTTCTCGTACCTGAGTGCCCTTGATAATGACAGTGTGGGCCGGGAGGTTGACACCCCATGCGAGAGTGGCGGTCGACACAAGCACCTGCAGCACAGGCGAAGGGATAAAGGGGGAAAGGGGGAGGGGAGGAGGGAGTTTTAGTTGGGGGCTTCGGGTTTCGGATTTAAGGATTTGGGGACTTGGCATCTCGAGTGAGTGTGTCCAACCGCGCTCCCCTTCTTTGTCCCTCCATCTCTCCACTCCACTCACCTGAACCCCACCACCTCTCTCCCTCTCCCTTTCCCACACTCGCCCTCTCTCTCGCCCTCTCTCTCGCCCCTCTATTTCTCCCCCTCACGCTCTCGCCCTCCCTCCCGCCCCCTCTCTCGCCCCCTCTCTCGCCCCCTCCCTCGCCCCCTCCCTCACTCACCCCCTCCCTCGCCCCCTCCCTCGCCCCCTCCCTCGCTCGCCCCCTCCCTCGCCCCCTCCCTCGCCCCCTCCCTCACTCGCCCCCTCCCTCGCCCCCTCCCTCGCCCCCTCCGTCGCCCCATCTCTCACCCTCTCTCTACTCACCCCACCTAGTGTTAAAATTGAGCCTCCAGCCAACCCTCACCTGAATGTGCCCGTCTGCAAACAGGTATTCCTTGTTGCCCCATCCTGTGCTGTTCAAACACCCAACCCAACTATCCCTCACCATTTGCCCACCAATCCCTCACCTGGATGTGCCCGTCTACAAACAGATCGCCCCACCTAATATTGAGGTGTAAACCCCACCCACCCACTCACCTGGATGTGCCCGTCTGCAAACAAGTCCTCCACGAGCGTCCTGTCAGCGCAGGCCAGCCCAGCATGGTGGATGGCAAACCCATACGGCAGCAGGTCCCACTCTTTCTCCTCGCTCTCCCTCTACCTCTCCCTCCTCACCTGAATGCCCCAACCCCTCACCTGAATGTGCCCATCAGCAAACAAGTCTTCAACGAGCGTCCTATCCGCCCTTGCCAGCCCAGCATGGTGGATGGCAAACCCATACGGCAGCAGGTCCCTCAGCTCCCCACTCTTCACACTCTCCGTCTCGCTCGCCAGAATCTCCCTACTCGCCCTCTCCCTCTCCCTCCTTACCTCCTTCCCAACTCGCAACCTCTCTCTCTCTCCTCTCTCTCCTCGCCCCACCTAATAATGAGGTGTAAACCCCAACCACCCACTCACCTGAATGTGCCCGTCTGCAAACAAATCCTCCACGAGCGTCCTATCCGCCCTTGCCAGCCCAGCATGGTGGATGGCAAACCCATACGGCAGCAGGTCCCTCAGCTCCCCACTCTTAACGCTCTCCGCCTCGCTCGCCAGAATCTCCCTGCTCGCCCCATCCTCCTTCAAAAACCGCCCCAGCGTATCCGCAGCCAGCGCCGCGTCCCGCACCGCGCGGGCGGTCTTCCCCGTCTCTTTCCGGGAATGGACAAAAACGAGCACCTGGTGCCGCCCGGCGCACTCCACCACCTTCTCATAACAGATCTCGTTCATCAGCTGGAACCGCTGCAGCGGCTTCCGAACGGTAATCCCGATATACTGCTGCGCGAGCGGGCACGGGCGGAACGAGTTATCGAAGTAAAACAGCCCCTTATCCAAATCCACGCGCAGAAAAATCGCCACATCCTCGTAGTTCGGGAGAGTGGCGGACAGCCCGACGAGTCGGATCATCTCCTGCGTGCTCTCGACTTGGCGCACGGTTCGGGCGACGATGGATTCGAGCACGGGGCCGCGGTGGTCGTGCAGCAGGTGGATCTCGTCGATGATCACCAGGCGCACCAGCTGTGTGTACGTGCGGTCGCCTGCCTTTCGGGTTATGATGTCCCACTTCTCGGGGGTAGTGACGATGATCTGGGAAAAGGGGAAGAAGAAAACAGTGAGGGAGAGAGTGAGAGACGGATCATCTCCTGGGTGCTCTCCACCTGGTGCACGGTTCGGGCGACGATGGATTCGAGCACGGGTCCGCAGTGGTCGTGCAGCAGGTGGATCTCGTCGATGATCACCAGGCGCACCAGCTGTGTGTACGTGCGGTCGCCCGCCTTGCGCGTTATGATGTCCCACTTCTCGGGCGTGGTCACTATGATCTGGAGGTGGGGGTGAAAGAGGGAGGCAGAGAGTGAGGGAGAGAGTGAGGGCGGAAGGGCGAGAGAGAGAGAGAGAGAGAGAGAGAGAGAGAGAGAGAGAGAGAGAGAGAGATCTCCAATCCAGTGGTGCTTTCTTGAAAGACCCGCGGTGGTCGTGCAGGAGGTGGATTTCGTCGATGATGACGAGGCGCACCAGCTGTGTGTACGTGCGGTCGCCCGCCTTACACGTTATGATGTCCCACTTCTCAGGCGTGGTCACGATGATCTGGAGGTGGGGGTGAAAGAGGGAGGCAGAGAGTGAGGGAGAGAGTGAGGGCGGAAGGGCGAGAGAGAGAGAGAGAGAGAGAGAGAGAGAGAGAGAGAGAGAGAGAGAGAGAGAGAGATCTCCAATCCAGTGGTGCTTTCTTGAAAGACCCGCGGTGGTCGTGCAGCAGGTGGATCTCGTCAATGATCACCAGGCGCACCAGCTGTGTGTACGTGCGATCGCCTGCCTTGCGCGCTATGATGTCCCACTTCTCGGGGGTAGTCACTATGATCTGGGGGGGTTGGGGAAGCGGAGGTGGGGCCAGCGTCGGCAGGGACAATCAAGATATGATCTCACACTACTAACGCATGGTCGCAATCATCTAGTAATGGATGGGAGGGGGGGAGAGTGCCGAAGAGAGTGTGCAAGAGAAAGGTGGGAATATGCCAATACTTGACACTCGTCCATGCAATCACACGCCTCCCTGACTGACCTAGGTCTCCTCAATCTGCTGCCGTATGACCCAAGCATCACCAGTGAGCTTCTTCGCATTTTTTTTAAATTCTCAATAGCTACTTTTTCGTCCGCTCGCACCAAACATCACTGCAATAACGCCCCCTTCATTCCCTCACCTGGGTCTCTTCAATCTGCTGCCGAGTCAGCGAGGCATCTCCAGTCAGCTCCTTCACGCTCACGCCATACTCCTTCAGTCGGTTCCCCAGGTTCCCCACCAGTTCCGCCACCAGCGCTTTCATAGGCGCCACATACACAATCTTAAAGCCCGACAGGTCAATACTCCCGTCCTCCCTCCTGTGCAGCCCGATCTCATGCAGAATCGTCAGCATTGCGACATTCGTTTTTCCTGCCCCGGTCGGCGCGCAGAGCAGCACATTTTCCGGGGTAAATAGCGCCGTTTCGTAAACCCTGCTCTGGATGCGGTTTAGGGTTTTCGTCTCGCCAAACGCGGGCTGAGCCCACTCGGGCAGGTCGGAAATTTTCACCAGCTCCTCGCCCTTGCCCAGAGGCTTGGGCTTCAGGGCCGGCACGTGGACCTCCTCGTAACCTTTTTTGGGTGCCCGGTACGAGCCTTCGGGCAGCTCGCAACGTTTGTTGGCCATAAGCCAGCTGCCCTGGGAGAAACCGAGGGAATCTAGGTCTAGCATCTGCCGCTGCCCCTTCAACCACCCTCCCCCTCCGCCTCCCCCACCTCTTCCGCCTCCCCCTCCCCCCGCTTCCCCCTCCTCCCCGCCCTTCCCCCCTCTCTCCCCCTTCCGCCCAATCTCCATCTCGTCGCCCTCCATGCCCTCCCCCGCTCCCCCCGCGCCTCCCGCGCCCCCCTCGCGCAGCTTCCGCGCCTCCTCGCGGATGCTGCGCTCGAGGTTCCGCTGCCTCTCCTTGGCGGACGCGCGCGTCGCGTGCAGCTGCTCCAGAATCGCGCGCAGCGCGCGGTCCCCCTTCTCCGTCATCTCCCCCTCGATGCGCTTCCGCTCCGCGTCGTCCTCCGCGCGCGCGAGCCGCGTACACCATACAATCTTGAGCCGATTACGCAGTAAAAGCTTGATTAGATCGAATTTATCATAATCCAGAAGCCGCACAAGCTTATTCTCCGCCTCGCGCTGCTGCTCGTCCGCGCCCGCGCCTGCGCCCCACCCCGACGCCCCCCCTCCGCCTCCGCCTCCGCCTCCGCCTCCGCCTCCCCCTCCCCCTCCCCCGTCCCCTTCCCCGCCCGCCGCCTCCAGAATCCCCAGCGCCTCCGCCGCGAGCTTCTGGCTCTGCTGCGGGTCGATTCCGCCGCCTGCTGACGTGGCGTACGCCTGCGCGATCTTGCGCTGCAGCCAATAGGCGTCGATGTCCTGTACGCTCAGCCCCTCCTCCTCGCGCTCCTCGTCGTCGTCGAGCGCGCCCGCCATCTGCATTCCGCCGTCCCCCGCGCCCTCTCCGCCGTCTCCGCCTTCCGCGCCCTCCTCCTCCTCGTCCTCGTCCTCCTCCTGAATCTCGTCCAAATCCTCATCATCCTCATCCTCTTCCTCTTCGAATTCCACCGCCACGCCGATATCGTCGTCTAGCGCCTCCCCCGCTCCGCCCTCCCCGTCTCCGCCGGCTCCGCCTCCGCCTCCGCCCCCCCCTCCGCCGCCCTGCTCGTAGTCCGTGATGCGCTTCCCCAGCGCGACGAACTCCGCGAACCGCTCGTTCGGCATCGCGTTCAGAAGCTTCTCGATCTCGCGCTTCCGCTCCGGATCCGTCAGCTTGTCGTCTTTAAGAACCGTTAGAACCTCGTCCGCCGCGCCGCGCAAAACGTCCTGCGGTTGGTCCCCGAACTGCTGCTGGATGAGGCTCAGCAGAAGCTCGTATGCGGCGCGCGTCTCGCGCGTGCGCGGGCGGTACATCCCGTCGTCGACCAATGACAGCACCGTGTCCTCCTGAAATCCCGCCCCGCCCGGCCCGCCACCCGCGCCGCCGCCGCCGGCGCCTCCGCCGCGCTTCTGCCGCTTGGTCGACTTCTTCCCGAGCAGATCCAAACAGACGTCGCCGCCGGTGCCGGCCGCGGAGGTTCCGCCGGCCGCGAGGGATTTCAGCCGGTCCTTCTCGCGCTTCTCGCGCTTCTTCTTCGCAGCTTCCTCCACCTCCTTGGGCCTGCCGTGGCCAGCCCGGTCGCCGAATTTCTTCATGTCGACGCGGCCCCAGAGGGTTTCCGGCTCGCCCGTGGGCTCGTGCGAGTCGCGCGGACGCGACTCGAGGTTGAGCACGAGGGAGGAGTTGGCGCGGTACTCATACTGCTTGAATCGCGCGAAGGCTTCGGCACCTCCTCCGGGATTCGCCATGGCGGATGTAAGCGGATTTTAAACGCAGCTACTTAAAATCGCGGCTCTCATACGCAACACTATTATACGTGCAGCTAAAATCGATCCTTTCTGTTTTCCCTTTTTTTTGGGGCTACTTCTCCCAGTGCGAAAGGAGACCGGCCCTTTTCTTTGTTGCCCTTATTTTCGTAATCCGATGTTTTACGAACTTAACGAACGCGATTTTCTGAGAAAAGCGACGGCCTCGGCTCTGCTCCACGCAAATTCAAGCGGGTAAAGACGATCGGCGCACGAAAATGGAAGACGGCGGCGATTCGTACAAGAAAGACCACTGCAGGCCGATGAATTCCTCGGATCAATACCGAATCCACAGGACGGATTGCGACCTAGGCCCAAGATAGCAGCAACCCTAGGCCCAAAGTTGCAGCAAATGCCCAAGATTGGGGTGACCTAAAATGGCAACCGAGAAATGGAGGCTGTTTGCTAGCTCGATGCTTGGAAGCACTTCTATGGACGACTCACGGGCTTGGCAGTGCGATGGGTGAAGTGAGCATGAGGTTGAAGGGGACGAGGTTGCGTGTGACCACGAAGGAGAGTTCCTTGGTGTACAAAAAAAGAACACTCTTATGATGTTTCTTGGATGCTGCTAAGCAAGAAGTCGCATTGTACAGCATCCCTCACCCTGGCTGAATTTGAAGTTTCGCTTACACAGCATCGCACAGCCTGTCACAAACCCATGAGTGCCGCCCTGGATTCCATCAGGGACTTCGGGAGCTCCAATGTGACGCAGTCTCTTATCATTCACCACATTGGACACATGTTTTAGGATCGCCTCACTGAAACGATGAGATTAGTATTCGCATGTTGTCTTTGCAACGAGCCTCAATACCTATATATGACACTGGGATCTTCATGGACCGAGCTCAATATCTGGAGTTAGTATCTTTTGTCAAACTGTATATATTTCATTGGGTTGTTACAGTTTAATAGCCTATATTGGGATTTGCTATTTGTATACATCCCCCTTATTCAGTCATCACTTCATTTTTACGTGGTATCGAGTAGGATAGGACTCACGCTTCCGCTACGCTCGTCCTACTCTAGCCTAGCCCGCCACATGCCGTGCCCCTAGAGCGCCAGCCTCCTAAGAGCCCCCCCCCCCCCCCCCCCCCCCCCCCCCCTAAGAACCACCTCGCCCCTAAGAGCCAGCCAGTCAGCCTAGGCCACCAAACAGCCAGCAGCGTGCACGCCGACAGAGCATGCTCCAGCAGCAAGCGCCAGCGCGCGTAGGCTTGTTGCCGTTCTCGCGCGAGTGCGCACGCCTGCTACAGCACGCCTGTTACAGCACGAACGCTAGCCCGCTGCTAGCACTCGCACCAGCAGCAGCCTGCCGCCAACACGCGCTAGCAGCGCGCTGCTCGCTACGTGTCAGCTGCCCATTACTAGCGCGCGCTAGCAGCATCACGCCACTATCCGTGCCAGCCCCTGCCGCACTAGACATAGCTCCAGCCCCACCCGCGCTAGCCCCACCTACTGCCTCGCCATCCCCAGCTACAGCCGGCGCCCCCCTCCCTCCCCCACCCCCCCCCCCGCCCTCCCCCCTTTTACACCCGCGCCAGCCCCTAGTTATAGCCATGTCAGCCCAGCTACAACTGCGCCAGCCCCTAACCACAGTTGCGATAGGACACAGCGCCGTCTCTACCATTGTTCCTGCCGCCAGTCCTGTCAACGGGAGTTGCGTGTTGGCCCCGTCCTCGCTTGGGCGGAGCCGACTTCGTGGTCGGGTGTGAGGGGAGCAGCCGACCTGCAGCAGTGGGCGGGCTGGTTGACGAGGAGGTCGACCTGCACGGAGACCACTGTACGGGCGCCGACTTCAGGGTGGCGCCGACATCAGGGAGGTCGACCTGGGAAGTCGACCTGGTGGTTGGTCGACCAGGCCTGCTGGTCGACCTGCTGGTGGTCGACCTGACCTGGTGGTCGACCTGACCTAGTGGTCGACGAAGGAGGGGCCGACGTCGACCTCGACTCAGGACGCCGAGCGGTTGGGCGTCGAAGTAGCTGGGCGTCCACTTCGTGACGCCGACTTCGGGTAGCCGACTTGGGTGGTCGGCCGACAACTGCGCTGGTCGACGAGGAGCTGGTCGACCAGCACTGCTGGTCGACGTGGATCTGGTCGACCAGGAGTGACGTCGACCTGGAGCTTGTCGACCAGAGGAGTGGTCGACCTGGGGAGGTCGACTGGAGGTGGCCGTCGACCTGGGAGGTCGACGAGCACTTACAGGAGCAGCTGGTCGACATGGTTGCCCGGTCGACCAGGATACCTGGGTGACGAGGTTCTGCGAAGGAGTGCGACGGTCGCCCAGGCGAAGTTGGCGAGTCCGACCTCGGTGGTGGTATCCCGAGGTCGACGTGGCGGATCAGGTGGAGCCGTCAGCACGAAGATGACTTGGTGCGTGCGCTGTTCAGGTGACAAGGCTTAGCCCTCCAATCATCTACGAGCACCTGCGAAGTAGGTGCGCTGCTGTTCTACGGGAGCAACGCTGGCACGCCGTCAACCTGCAGCGTTGGCACGCTGTCGACTTTGCACTGCTGGAGCGCGGTCGACCAAGTCGTGCTGGAACGCGGTCGACCATGCTGTGCTGGCAGTCGACCGACCTGAATGCTAGCTCTGATGTAGTCTTGCCATGCTAACTTCATTGTACCATTGTTGTCAACTTTCTCTAGTGAAACTCTTGCCAACTTGCCCCGTGAACTGGCAAGCAGTGTGTGCACTAGGAAAACGACTAAGGACCAACGAACGCAGAGATCACACAAGCACCCGTGCCTAGCCCGTAGTCTAGCTCCCGTTGTAGTAGTTATCTCCGCAAGTCCTAGCGCTGTTACTTACACCTTTCCTGCGGTTGTTCCTAGCACCATTCCTACCACCGTTCGTGCTGGTACTCAGTGGAGCCTCCACCGGCCAGTCTACGGTCTCCGCCAGGCACCCCGCGAGTGGCACGACACACTGAGGACTACACTTGCGGCTCTTGGGTTTGCTCCTTCCTCTGCTGACCCATCGCTGTTTCTATGCACCGATACTACCCTGCCGCCGTTCTACGTTCTCGTGTACGTCGACGACTTGGTTTTTGCTACTGCTGACACTGAGGCACTGGCCCTAGTGAAGGCGGAGCTGTAGGAGAGACACACTTGCACTGACCTGGGTGAGCTGCGTAGCTATCATGGCTTGCAGATCACCCGGGACAGAGCACGGCGCACAATCACCCTGACTCAGTCACATGTGGTGCACCAGGTCCTTCACCGCTTTGACTTCCAGTACTCCTCGCCACAGCCCACTCCTCTGCCTACTAGCCACTCGCTCTCACCTCCACCTTCGAACGAGTCCGTAGAGCCGAGTAGTCCGTATCCAGAGCTTGTGGGTTGCCTCATCTACCTGATGACGTGCACACGACCTGACCTCGCGTACCCTCTTAACCTCCCAACTCGCTACGTGGCTCCCGGTCGACACCGAAAGGTGCACTGGGATGCTGCGAAGAGGGTACTGTGTTACTTGTGCAGTACATTGGGCATGGGGCTCGTGCTTGGAGGACAGGGTTCAGTGGTACTCACAGAGCACTCCGACGCTTCTTGGGCCGACGACCAGGCAACTCAGCGTTTGTCACAGGGTTACACCTTCAGTCTTGGCTCTAGTTCTATCTCGTGGAGGTCCACTCGTTCTTCTTCTGTACTCCAGCTGTGAGGCCGAGATCTACGCTGGGGCTATGGCTACAAAGGAGCTACGCTGGCTAACCGACTTAGGGGAGCGGCCTCGTTCTCCTCCAGTTCAGTACGTCGACAACAAGGCCATGCTTGCCTTGTATCAGGAGCAGAGACTGGTGCACAGAACGAAGCACATTGCTCTTCACTACTTCCTTGCTCGAGAGCTACAGCAGCGTGGTCAGCTCCGCCTTTCTTAGGTGGCCTCTCGGGCCAACACTGCTGATGTCTTCACCAAGGCCCTTGGGTCTGGTGATCATCAGCGTTTCTGCACTGCTCTTGGGCTTCTGCCCATTCTGCCTCACCTGCTGGTTGCTTGACTTGTCGTGTACCGTGGTCTCTATATATATGCCTGCATGCTTTCCCTTGCTAGGCTGTGATCACTGTACTGCTTGTGTTTTTATAACGCTGTATGCGAACTGGCCTTGTGGCCACTTGCTTGTGCTCAGACTGCGTGGTGATCTTGAGTTCCACCCTGGGCTTTCCTTTGTTTGCTTCTCCTGACTGGTCTTGTGACCGCTATTTGGTTTGGCTATCCCCTACTTGTCCTATGGGGGTGTGTCAAAACATTATATGCTTTCTATATTTCTAAGCAATGTAGGGGTTATCCTTAGAGGGTACAACACTTTTCTCGACACTCTTGTACCCCCCGCTTACCTAATCGACCATCACTTTCTTGCTACTTCTAACAGCGCGAGCGGGAAAAATCACATTCAGGATCAATTCGGGTGAGGGTTTCTTCTAGTTACCATTCGTGTGATCGCTTGCGAGTATAGAGTTACCAAACGCACGAATCGAGTTACCAAACGCGTCAAAATTGATTGTAATGGTTACCGTACGCGTTGTTGAGCCCCATATAAGTTACCATTCGCATATTTTCCCAACAAGTAAGGGTATCGTGGCAGATTGCCTGGTCCTACACAGAGTCATGATATCCTACAAGATTCATGATCGTGCTTGATAAACTTAAACTTAGTTGCCGTTGAGACATTTCGACAAATCAATGGACTGTACACTGCGACGAAAAAAACACGCAGCGCGTCAGCACTGCGCCAAATGAAGTTTGTCCCACATGGACACAACGTCCCCGCCCACACAAAACTCGTCTCCCAAAAGCCTGTATAACGAACCTCCTGACTTATTTAGCGCGTCAGTCTCGTGCGTCATATAAGTTGCATGACCACAACATCGAATTTGTTATGGTTACATACAGAAAATAGGGTTACAAATCTCTGCTTGAACTGTCGACGAACTCGCGAAACACGCCC